CAAAGCCGCAATTGAGACCATCACGATCTTCGTGGCAGAGGGTGTACCGAATGTTTCGCTACTCGGGCCAATCCGATGCCCATCCAGCCACCGGCCCACCGAATCTTGTTTTCATTTCGCTTATGTACAGTATATAGGCAAAAGCGAGTGGCCGCCGGAAATACCTTCCTCCTTTTTGCTTTCCGTGTCTGTCAGACTGTCGGACAGGAACAGAGGTTTCACGGGCTATCATACCCAAGCAAAGGACTCGCGATGGTATGGAGGTATACTTGGGTATCTAGATGGATAGATAGATGGATAGATAGATGGATACCTCCAGCACGGAGATGAATCTGAGCAGAGCCAGAAGTTAGAACTTCTGCACCATCCGTATGATAGGTACGTACGACGGTTGCATGGCTAAGTACATAGGGTACCTCAGTAGCCAGATGTCCGGACGGAATGTCGTTGCTGATGACCAAACCAAGCCGTGATTGCCGGAATAGGTGCCATCATGATCAACATCCATCCCTTTTTTCTTCCGTGATGATCGTCAGCCGTCGTCGTTGGATGGAACTCAACTCAACTCCAGTCCCTGACTCTGACTCTATCTATCGCGGAAAACGAGGTACGTGCCACTCACAACTGCAGAGTGACCGCCGCCGCCGCTCGCTCGGTTTGTTTGCGGAGTAATGTTATGTATCATATCATATAGAGTAGAAGCACGGTTTGGGGTATTATCCATGCGTGCTTTTGTCTCGCAGGTATGTAGGATATGTTCCGGTTGGTCAAAGTGCATACTACTCTATATCTACATACGGAGGAGTCAGTCTGACGGGTGCAGGTTTGCGGGTGGATAGTACCTACTGTGAGTGAGTCCGTGACTGCACTGCAATTTTGGAGAGAGGAGGAAGTGAAGTGCTGTGTGCTATACTGCGTATCTATAATAGTGCTCTACCAGTACCACTATACCCGCAGCGTCAAACGAGCTCTGGTGTTGCTCGGAACGGACTGTGAGCGAACTGCATGTCTGTTTCCGCGGGTCCCTCATCCATCACAACCCTTCGGTCCTTGCTGATTGACTCTCCGCTACTCATTACTTGCACTTTCGATCCATTGTCCGGGACACAGGACGAGGCGTTCGCTTCCTCTCTCTTTCAACGTAACGGCGACCGAATTCGAATTCGAATTCGAAAAACGAAAGAAAGAAAGAAAGAAAAGAAAGAAGAAAAAAGTCCAGTCACCGGAATTCACCCTGCATACCAAACAGGAAAAAACTGGGCCGTGGATGCGCATGCCGTGATTACTAGAGCATGTGCACGCCGGCAAACGTCGATGCACACACTGCACAGAGTGAGGTGAGAGGGGAATCGCGGTTCATCCCATGTTCTCGCAATCGGTGTATGATGCGTACGTACTTACATACATATCCAGATACGGACAGCCATAATCGACAATCGAAGTCTCGCTCGTACCGCTTTTCCTTCCGCGGGGATTCATAATTCTTCAGCGCATCGCCCCTTCGCCCCCCCCCCCCCCCCCCCCCCCCCCTTCGCCCGTTCTCCGGAGAACATGTTGGAAGGAGGGACCGGGGGAGGGGGGAATTCTTCACGATGCATCATCTCGCAATCGCAACTGCCCACCCCGCTCGCTCAATCATCATTACCTAGCAGCTCTTGCGCTAAATTGGGGCCGTAGCACTGCCCAACTATTCGCGCGCCGGGCTGAGCGAACATCACCCCCCCCCCCCAATCCCCGCCGCCGCCGCCGCCAACCTGGACACTACTCTGGATGGAGAGCACTGGCCCACGTAACCGAAACAAACCGGCCCTTACATAGGTCCTCATGTACCATACCGGTATTCGAGCCTGGAAGCACGGGGAGAGTTGCAGAGCCAGCTTCACGGCCGGGCGAAACGAAACAGTGCATGTTGCGTCTCACCTCTACAGAATTGTCAGGTATGGTATGTATGTACTCCTATCGCTCGGTCAGGTCAGTCAGGTCAAGTCTCTCAACCCCCTCCCTTGATGAGGACCTAGCGCGCCGGAGGAGAGATATGAGAGAGAGAGAGGGTGAAGACCAAAAGAAAGAAAGAGAGCATGATGTTTGTCTGGGCCGTTTCCCTTGGCTTACGCGGGCGGTCCCCTGTCCCTGCAGTGTGTCCTGGTCGTGTCTTTCCCAATCCCTCGGTGCTGCATGGGAGAGGGGCACATTTACATGCTAGTATTAGCACTCAATTTACTCGATTCACTCGATTCACTCGATTCATTCGATTCATTCGATGCACTCAATTCACTCAATTACTGGCCATCAAAGCGAGCGCTGGCCGCACCTATCCAATGCAAAGGCCACAAAGTCGCAACGGCATACAAACCTTTGAGCCTCCTCGACTGCTACAGATTTACATAGGAGACCGACCGTGAACTGGACTGGGACAGATAATACTTCCTTACAGAGTTATCTCCTTGAAATCCGGGCTGGTATGATATGATACTCTCGGCACTACTATTAGGGCCTCTCCCATGCCAATCGAGAAATGGCGGCTTGACCAGGCCATTTCCGCCGCAGCACTGCTATGCACGATCAATTCGACAACGACCTGTCCTCTGATTTTTTGTGTCCCTCTGTGCATGCACTTGGGTTATCCCCTCGCCTCGTCGTCGCCGCTCTAGGGTTAACTGCTGGACCTCCCGCTAGCGAAAAGCCTGGAGTCTCTGAGGATTGCAAGGGTGGTCGAGACGACATTGGTACCTGTAGGTACCAGATCCAGACAGATCCAAGTGTGTCTCAATATTATTTCTTTGCCTCCAGCCAGGTTCGACTATTCCGTTCCTATCGACACTGCCAAATTCGAAATCTGCCCTCCCCCCCCCCTACCCCCCTCCAGGTCTCCAAACTCCTCTACTGCTGGCGCGAATGGGTAGTCAGTTTAGTTCCCTGGAACCGTCCACCACCACCACCACCACCCGTACCCGTATGAAGCTACGCAGGTACATATAGATATCTTGATGAATCGTCCACCACCACCCGTCAGCCAATCCACCTCGATCCGAGGTGCTCACGTTTTTTTACTGATATAAACTGCCACATCTTCACCGACGCTCCGTTCGATCGCCCACTGTCCATCCGGTCTTGGTCCAACGAATTCATTCGGCTCTTCGCAATCTCTCGGCTAACAGTCATCTCCTCCCTCCTCACCACCATATAATAACCTTAGGGTCGATCCGCGCGGCACCGAAAACGTGGTGATCGTCGACTCCTTCCCAACTTCGGCACAGAAGCATCATCTAGCTATCATCCTTTCTGACCGACCAACTCCGTCAACAAGGAACACCACCACCACCACCACCCCCTCCAAAAAAAAAAAAAATTAATAAAAATAACAACAACAACAGCACCTCCGGTACTAAAGGACTCTGCATATCCTTCCTCGCATGCTCCCGGAAACAAGCAAAAGCAGCACATCATAGCAATTTTACTTTGACGCCCTTGCCATTGCGGGGAGACATCGCCTCGAGCTGGTACCTGGTCCACATACTATATCTACCCTAGTCGCAAGTCGCTAGCAAAAAAAAGGTGCGCGCCCTCTGCTGGATTCTGGCTCGCATATATCCCCACCCTCCTCGAATGTCGCCCACTGTCGTCGTGATCGTCAACTCTTTCCCTGCTGTGCTGTAAATGCATCTGCTTGCTTTTCATGTTCATATACACTTCTCGAGCAACTTCCTTGCTCCCCTCCACTACCACCCTCCGCCCCAATTATATAATTAGCCTTCAACAAACACACCGACTTCAGCTCTGAACACCATCTGACTGTAACATCGATACATATAGACGGACCACAGAAACGCGGGCAAATCAGCTTCTCTTCCTCGAATTCAACCATCTCGAAAACCACGTATACTTTGAGTGCAGAGTCCTCAAAGTTTTCAGCTACGCTTTTCCCCCTAATCACCCCACAAGCCGCCAAAACGGCCGCCATTAACTATCCCCCGTTTCCTCGGGGCCCTGCCTCCCCACTCGACAACCTCTTCCTCCCACCAACACCGCAGTCGCCTTCCTCACCATCCTCCGTGAACGGGGCGGATAAATACTTGCTGCCCTCCCTGGACCTTTTGGGCCAGCAAACCCAATACTGGGGTGGAAGCAGCAGCAGTGGTCCTGCCTCCGATCTTTCTCGCCCGGCAACTGCATCCCCGCCGCATTCGACATCTTGCTTCTCTCCCGTTTCCTACGTGTCCACGAGACCCCTCCCAACGCCCCCCGGCTCGAGTGATTTTGACGGGCGACCATACCACCCGGTCTCTCGGGAGGAGTTTGCAGCTGCCACTCTATGCCAACAGCCTCTGCTTTCCAACATCAATAATATTGCTGCTAGGAGACACCGCGACAATCTCCCGCAGTTTAACCTGACAGCTACCCGTTCGTCGTACGCCACTTTTGGAAGCTTTCCTACCCCGCCACCTTCCGAGATGACAACTTCGTTGGCCTCGGCCTCAAACAACGGCGTGTCTTCGTCTAGCACCGGCCCGTATTCGGGCTTCCAGCACAGCAACAATAACAACAACAACAGCTCTCCGTATGGTTACATTTCGACCACGCAAAGTTATTCGTCTCCGGGTATGCAGGCATTAAGAAGTTTCACTTCGCCGTCGGGCTACGGATCGGCCCGAAGCAGTAGACCGGACAGCCCTGCCACCGGTGAAATGCTGCCGTCTTCACCGTACGATGCGAATGGAGCTTCATATCCCACCGTCAACAGCATGGGGTTGACCAGCAGCAGTACTCACACCAGCCTTCCTGCTGCAGCAGCACCCTTAAGCAGCCTGCCATCGATTGGGCAGGGGAGCAATAGTTCTTACGCTTCTTCACCCTACAACATTGGTGGAGGGCATGGCGGAGGGCATGGTGGTACTGCAACCACGCAGCAGCAGCAGCAGCAACAGCACCACCACCACAATGCCATAAATAGTCAGCCGCTGCAGCCCACCCACGACACTTATTCTCCACATAACGCTGGCCTCCCCCCACCACCCGCACCTTCTTATTACACCACCGCCTCGACCTCATCATCTTCTCCATCACTCTCATATCATCATTCATCGGCGCCACTACGACAGATGTCGCCCACCACCCCCACCACGTCTTCAACGATGACTCGACCCCCGTCGGCAGCCAACAACAACAATTACCCCCCACCTCTGTTGCCACTTCAGCCGCAACCGCAGTACAGGTTGCCTTACCAGCTTCCGGGCATGGCTTTGGGGATGGGACAGATGACCCACCACCACCACCCTGGTTCGCTTCACCATCCTCAACCGGATAGACCTTTCAAGTGCGACCAATGCCCGCAGAGCTTCAGCCGTAACCATGATCTGAAACGCCACAAACGCATACATCTGGCGGTGAAGCCTTTCCCCTGCGACAACTGTGAGAAGAGCTTTAGTCGTAAAGACGCTCTCAAGGTTAGTTTTTATTTTTTACCCTACAGCACATGGTCCAATGAGGTCGTTGAAGACTAATACATATCCACAGCGACATCGTCTTGTCAAAGGTTGCGGCAAGGCCTCTGATGCGAAACAAGCCGCTGCTCAGCAGCAGCAGAAGCAGGAACAACGATCGCCGCCCTACGATCAGCGGTCGCAGCATCAGCAGCAGCAACAACAGCACCAGCCGCAGCTTCAACGTCATCACCAGCTTCCACTACGACAGAGCGGCCTCCATTCCTCCTCCCCTGTCCCCCACCACCTCGGGAATTCGGTGATCGTCAAGTCTGAGCGATTATAAGACCATTGCCTCTACCAACCGCCCATTTCGCTATCATCATCATTCCGACTTCTATACATGTATTATTCTGGGTTCTTTCCTTGCTTTTTGTGTTTGGCTTGTGGCTAGGCCGTGCGTCGTTCCAACAAAATGGCGCTGTACATACAATTAGCCTCGTGGGGTTCGGTGCTGGAGTCAGTGTGAATTGGCAGATGGGTTTTCTCGTTCTTGGTTTTTTTTTTGGAGCGTCTATATCTTTTGGTTCAACTTATTTGGTTGGGGGGAGTGGGATCACGATACACTTCGTTCTTTTTTTTTCGTTGCCTCATTTCTCTTCAAAAATACTGGCGCCTCGAGTCTGCTTTTTTGATTCTTTTTTTTCTCCCCCTTCCATTCGAATTTTATCTTTTGGTTCATGGATTTTTGGAGGGAGGTGTATTTATGGGTATATGTGCTCTACGTTTTTTTTCCTTTGTCTTTTTTCATTTTTTTTCCTGGGAGGGGGAGGGGAATGGGGAAGGAAATACGCGGAGGATGGGGCACGGGGGGCATGGGGGGGCGTGCAAGGCCGCGCAATCATAGGCCTTGCTTTTCGGACGGTGATCGGGAGTTATTTTATTTTATTTTTTGGCGCTCTGTTTTGGATCTGGTATCTACATGCATGTTGGTTGGAACTTGGGGGATCACCGGGGACCGAAGGGTTTGAAGGTTGGATGGTTGGATGGATGGATGGATGGATGGATGAAAAAGACAAGGAATTTTGACCATGGACTCGCCGGAAAGATGATGGGAGATGGGAGATGGGAGTCGGGAGTCGCGACACACATCAATGGTCGGTTCGTAATCAATACATCACACACACATACACACAGAAATACAAATACACGCACGCACAATGGCTCTATGACTTCTGCTGCTGGTTGAACACATTTTAACCACATGGGATCCCACGTACATACTTCCTACATACATATAATCATATCATACATCATATGTGATCGTCGTTATGTGGGCACTAGGTATGTACACTGGGGCCTCCTCTTGTCTCGTCTTGTCTTGTCTTGACTGCGTCAAAATCGCCCCAACTCGAGGTGGGCACATGGTTATCAAACGCACATCATCCATCATCCATCATCCATTTCTGGGGGCATTGGGCGGTAGCCGTTAGTTACATGATATGTAGGGTGCTCTGGTTGCTCTGGTTCGTTGCTCTGGTTATTCTGATTGGGGTGGCCGGTCACTATTTAGCGTTGCGATATGTACCTAGAGTACGCAGAGTGAGTAGGTGCAAACCTGCAACCGACGGCGACGGCGGAGGTTTCTTTTTCCTTTTCGTTGCTTTCCTTTCATTTTCGTTGCTTTTCTTGAGCTTTTCTTTCCTTGAGTTTTTGTTCCGCTGGCTCAGTTTCCTTTCGAATCGAATTGCCAGGAGCAAACCGGTGGTGGTGGCGGCGGGAAGCGTGCTGCGTGCTGCGTGCCCCATCTTCGGTGCGGTGGAGGATGGAGTACGGACCACGGTACCGCAGACCTGGGTACGTGCTACAGGCCTACGGCTTTTCCGTTGGTTCGTTGTGGAGAGGGTGGTGGTGGTGGTGGTGGTGGAGGGGGCGGTGGAGGGAGGGGGAGGGGGGATCAGCCAAGCAGGTGGGCGGGCAATCACTGCCAATACCTACTAAGGTATATACCTAGAGTAGAGTGCATACATAAGTCCATAAGTAAGGCAGGTTAGGGTAGTTGTGTGTTGCTTCTTCACGCTCGATATCGATGTATCGTATTGATGTATCGATGTATGATAGTTCTACCCTCCATCTCCTCTGCACAATGCACACCTCTCCCCGCCGCTGGGTGCAGTGGTCCCGACGCCCCTCCCTCACCCATCCTGCAGCCCAGAGCGAAACCAGGGATCCATCCATCCACACGGAATCCTCGTTCAGCATCAGCATCAGCATCAGCATCATCAGCATTATGTTTGGATTGGGCTGGGCTGGGCTGGGATGCTTCTGCTTCTTCTGCTTCTTCTGCTTCTTCTTTTTACACTACATACACACTTGGGTCCTTGGGTCGCGGTTCTTGGATGGGTGCACTTGTTGGCGGGGCAAGATACACAGATAGGTAAATCCGATTGCTTGCAGCACACAAGTTTTGGTTTTGGCTTTTACACAGTTTTAGTTTTTTGGCCGGAGGTTTTTACAACCTACCGTACTCTATTGTCAGGTTGGCAGGTTGGCAGGTAACAGGTGGGCCTCCACCTGCGGGATGGCAGGGAGGAGGGGGGGAGGGGGGACAGTAGTTGGAACTTGAGACTTGGGTGGGGCTGGAGATGCTACTCTAGCGAGCGAGGGAGGGCTTTTCTCAGTTCTGCAGTTCTGCACCCGTGGAGATGGTGCGGATGGTGCGGATGCGGATAGAGTTGGGGGAAGTGCGGATGGAGGCTGCGGTGGTGGTGGTGGTGGTGGAGGTGGTTGGAAGCATGTGAGGGAGAGAGCTCGGGCTCGAGGCGTCCGTAGGTATCACCATCATACCACCCATCTGGCTACGGCTGGCTGGCTGGCTGGCTGGCTGGCTGGGGTGGTGCGAGACGCACAGAGACGTCCCGTCCGTGGCTGGAATCCACATCCATATCACACATATGTAAGTACAACCACCCCCCGTCACGGTTCGTGAGATCCCGAGAATTGGGTAAGTACTATAACACCGTACTACTATATAGTTACCGTCCGCGTTCCTCACTCCGCCATGCGATGTATTCGCTACACTAAGTAGAGTAGTTACCGGTGCTCGTCTCCGGCCCTTCTCTTGGCCGGCAGCATGCGCTTCTGTAATCTCCTTCTCCTCCTCCACCTCCTCACCGCGCCCCGCGCCGAGCCGCCCCGCCCGATCCGCTCGATCTATGAAGCAGTGCTAACAAGACTCTAGAGCTCGCAGTTATATGTACATACTAGAGTATGTATAGTTAACTAGCATGTAGCATCTCGATTGAGGGATATCGAGTATGGCCATGTGTTTTGGATCCCGGATTCCGCACACCCTCGCAGCTCGCACGCTCGAATCCACCCCGGGAAGCTGTCCGGAAGCACGCAGACGACGTCCACTTGCTCGCCACGCTCTCGCCACGCTCTCGCTCGGAGCGTAAATAAGCTTAAGCATTTTTGCTTTTTTTCCGCTGCTTTCTCTCCTCGTTGTTGTGCGGGCTGGGGTGGGGCTGCCTGAAGCACATGGGGGCGGGGGGGAAGACAGAGAGACAGACAGAGACAGAGCACGGCCATCGTCAGTCCTTGTCTCGGCCCGCATGTGCTCGCACAATAGCCCACCCAAACAAGCCTCGCCCAGGCCAGCCCCCAAAGAACCCATGCCCGAATGGTCGCAGCGGCCATGGCAGGCGGCGGACGACGGCTAACGGCGTGGCCTCCGCCTTCTTTTCCAAGAGAATTAGTCGAGACTCGACTTGACAGGGGGAGGTGGGGAGGGGAAGGGGAATCGGGGGGCTGCTGCTTGATGGAGATGGCCGTTTGCTTTTTTTTCTCTTTCTTGAAGGGAAGGGAAAGGCCAATCATCCACTGGTCAATTGGGCGGCGGCGTGGCGGGGGTTCAGATCGGATGTCTCTCCTCTAATAGCAGACCCCACTCCCCCTGTAGATGTGGTAAGTTCCGCGGCGAGACCCCGACCCCGACCCCCCAGTCACGCTCCGCACCGTGAGGGATCTGAACGATGAGCGAGCTCTGCGAGAACGAAGCTGCGAAGCTGCGATTGGGGAGTGCGCGCTATTAGTGAGAGGCAAGACACGACCGGCCGTTGTGAGATGTGATAGGAATGTATCTAAGTATTTAGAGTAATATAGCAAAGTGGTTGGTCGGTAGGTTGGCTGGTTGGTGGTCGGTTGGAAAGGCGGGCGGGGCGGGTGGGCGGGCGGCGAGGATGCAGGATGGATCGAAGTGTTTCCATTCGATGGCCGGAGCGCGTATGTATGGGTAGTAGATGCAGTTCGATCTCAGATTCCTTTTCTCGTGGACCATAGGAACCTCTGCTATGCTTCGGAACCGATCTTGTGGCGCCCTGGACACCGGAAGGGGGTGGTGGTGGTGGGCATTGACGCGCGGATGCCCTCCCACCCCCCATCGAGTTTCGGAGTCGAGTCTTCACTGTTGGCAAATCCGTCACTCCCCTCCCTCCTCCCAGCTGCGGTGTACGCACCAGATAGATAGTAGAGTAAGTAGTGACCTCACTCAGCTGTGACTGATGGGGGAATCAAACAACCCGAGTGCAATATTGGCGTCCTACCGAGCAGACGGCGTCACGGCGGCGGCGGCGGAGCACATCCATCTTCAGCTTCTGCTCCTCGATGTGTCCTCGTAGAAAAGCAACCACGAGCAGTGACAGAATGCGTGGGACAGCATCGGACATCCCCCTCCAAGCTCCCGCCCCACCACCGGCGGTAGTCATTCCGTATCCGTCCAACACCTAGGCAGTTAGTTAGTAGGTAGAGTACTTGGGGGGGACTACACCGTATGCAATGTTTTGTTTGTCGTGATTGTCTCGCAAAAGTACTCACCTATACGCAAGGTGGTGGCGGCGGCGTAAGCTGGCAATCAAAGTGCTATTTGTTTGGTAAAGTATTCTCCGTGCCACGAGACATTCTTGAGTCTTTTGTGGCCCGAACGACACTCTAACTGTAAGTACTCCACCGCCCCGTGCATAATACATCCTCTACATACATACTCACATACATACAGACTCATTTTTCATCGCTCCAGCCAGTCCAGCCAGCCAGCCATCCATTCACCAGTGACCAAACGCGCAATCATGTCCAGTCCAGTTCTGTCGCGTGCCAAAAGCCGGGCTTCGCATCCGTCCGTCAGTCACTCCAGTATCACATGTAGAGTAGATAGGACAAATCAACCGGACAACGGAAAAGCAAAGAAAAAAGAAAAAAGAAAGCACGCACCCAATCCGCAGTTGCCCAAGCAGCCAAGCTATGCATACATACATACTCTTTTCAACGCATCGCCAGTCTCCTCGTTCGCTCGCTCGCTCACTTTTGGAACAGGATCCAGATGAACCGAGATCAAGTCCGAATCGCGGACGAGTCAGAGTTCCAGGCCAGCCAAGAGTAGGGTCAGCCAGTGGTGGTGGTGGTGGTTCCGATTTGTGCTGCTGCGATCCGTGGGAATGAGGAGGAGGGGAGGACTCCTTTTTTTTTGCTTTCTTTCTTTCTTTCTTTCTTTCTTGCGATTCGTCACCGATAAGCGTACTGCGTGATGTGTGCTGCGTGCTGGTGCGTACAACATCATCATCACCATTATCATCACGGCGAAGGAAGAAAAGGAAAGAAAAGAAAAAAGCACCCCGTGCGGAGCGGAGAGAGCGGGTGATGGCTTGTGAATAGGTACACCAGGATCCGCCAGGCCAGTTACCTACGCTGGAAGAAGGAATCTATGTCGTGGCCGAAACAGGCAGAGTCCATACATAGTTGAACTCCGTGACTCAATCTGCCCGCCGAGCCGGATCGATCGCACCGACTCTCATTTTCTACGACTAAAAGCCCCCCGCGCGTGATCACGACCGCCGTGCCGGTACACACATACACACATACACACATACACACATACACACATACACACTCACATAGGTCCAGTACTACATATACGCCCCCTCCTCCCGAACAGGCGGATACATACCCAGCTACGCGATGCAGTGCAGTGCGTGCGGGATGGGCGTACATTGAAACATTCCGAGCACGACCGGCTCAGTTTTGGTGGTGAATCAGCAGCAGCAGTCACAGTATGTACACATAGCAGCAAGAGCTGGCACGGGTAGTTACTATAGAGTACGTGGTTTGCAGCACAGTGAAGCTTGTCGCACTCGGACTCGGATTCGGAGCCTGCCTGCCTGCTTGGCAACGGCGGTTATTGGGCGCGCGAGGGCGCGCGGAGAGTTCTGTTGCAGACTTGCAGACTTGCAGTATTGCAGACTTGCAGTTGCATCGATGATCGATCCTTCGATTCTGGCGGGCGGAGAGCTAGAGTAGGTGCTGCTGGTGCTGATGCTGCTGGTGCTGATGCGCATAGATACGGTCAGCTTCCGTCCAGACAAAACTGGACAAAACTAGACACGGGTGGAGCGTGGGTGGGCATTGCGTACATACCATACATACCTAGGTAGATACGTTGGACTCGTGCGGGAACCGTATTTCTTCCCAGATGCAGTTTCAGGATGCGTATGTACATACACACCTACATACAGTGTACACACGCCGTCATCATCCTCCACTGCGGAAAAGGGGATGAATCATGGATTGATGGATGAAAAGCTTTTCGTTCCAGGCTTCCAGGCTTCCAGCTCATCCGTTCCTGGTTTGGTTGTGCTGCATGCACCTGGGATTGCTTTTTGGAAGTTTAATCTTCATCGCAGTCGATCGTGCTATGTCCAGGTATATCATGGCAGTTACAGACAGAAATGGCACACGGCGAGTGATGGTGTGTGAGGAAATGCAGGTGGCCGTCCGCAGTAGGTATACCGTATACCTAGTACATGGACACTGGCGGTGGCTGTTGGTCCACTGCAAGGTTTATTGATTGGATATGTCAGGCTGGCTACACATTCCGTCCATAGGAAGGAGGCATTTATCGATCTCAAGTTACTATGGTGCAGATGTCGAGCAGTTTGTTAATTTTTGCAGTCACTGGCACTGCATGGAATAAAATAACCTTTTCCTTCCGGTAGCACGATAGCAGTGAGGATCTCACTGGTTGGCGTTGTACTCTATGCAATTGAATCAACGGGTTAGAGTCCGTCCTCTTTTTCGGTGAACTGAATGCCGTACCTAGGTACCTATGTGACTGCATGATGAAAGTTGAAACGATTCCAAAACTGCAACGAGATACCTAGATAGGTATTTTCCTGCTCACCTGGGAAACTTACTCAGCTTTAAGCTAGACCTAGTTCTTTTTTCGAGACGATCAGATGTCAAACGGCCAAAATAGGCAGCAAAACAAGCAGCCAACAGTTTGGGGGGTTCGGTAGTGCCGCATCCCCCCCTGAGTGACTGAGACTCTGAGAGCAGTAGTGTTGAGCGAGTATGCGAAAAAAGTGTTGGTATATAGAGGGGTTATGAAGGCCTACATGGTACATGTCATAAGTGCAATATTTGACTTATGCCCATCGGTTGACTAGCCTGCCTTTGACTCGCGGGGATGGTGGGGCTGGCAGACTTGAATGCGTATGCCCCTCCCCCCTCCCCATCCCCCATTGATAATAACCGAACGGTTTCACAGGATGCACAGATATGTGGGCCGTTGTAACTTATAACTTGTGATCCGCGGGCAGAAATAGGTCGTGTTCGGCTCAGGACTTGGGCCCGGGCCTGAAGAATCAGGCGTGGACTCCGTATACCTGACTGTGTACATATACAAACAGTTCATACATATCATACCGGTTCGATTCGGCCGAAACTGAACTGAATTCGACCAAGGGTTGGCGGATGTGGCACAACGTATTATGTCAATCGTTTTTGTTCAGCACGTGTGATGGGAACTTCATTGCATTAGGCGTTCAAGACTTCGCGCCCCCTTTCGTAATAGTACAGCTGGTGAGCCCTTTTACGCATCGCTTCTGATGGAAAGTATTGGAATCTGGATGGGAGCCGTTTAGATCAGCGAAATCAGAATCTGGGTTGCGTGTTCGTATCCAGTTTCATGGGCTGGGCTGCGTGGTGGGATATTTTGCAGTCTTTAGAGCGTGCGGCCCAGAGCATGTAAGCAAGCACAGTCTGGGACTCTGGGGACGTTTTTGCGGTTCTGAGAATTCGGATATACAGTGTGCTGCCCGTCATGAGCAGTCATCCGGTCGTGAATGTCTTACATTGAGCAACACTTTCGGATCCTCCTTTTATTTCGCTTTTGTCAGCCCAAGGCGGATGGGTAGGGGAAGTGGGGCGCCGCATCAAACTGGTCGGTACCGGGGCTTTCACCTCGACTGGCCAGGGCGGACAGGAAACGGAGGTCGTGGGTTCGTCATAGTCTAGATGGGTTGCATGCGAAATAAAACAGGAAGATCTCTCTCTCTCTGGATCCTCCTTTTATAGAGGGGATGTAGGTGCTCTTTTCGGCGTCCGAGCGAATGCACGAGGCTGGACTGTCATATATAACTGAGCTTATCCGAGTGCGCTGGCACTTGCACATATTCCGTCCCTTTTGGAGGTTGTCTTGGAACGCGGGAACGCCGAACGGCACGCACGTAGATCCATTCTTTCCTCTTGATCTGTACATTGGGGACGTTTACTCCTCGGCATCAAGCAGCACTCCTTATGCACTTCCTCCTTCCAACAACTGTGAGTTCAACCGAACGACTTCCTCCTTCCCCAATCCAGGGTGAATCGGTATACCAATACTGACTCCGTTCTGATGCGCAATCTTTACCACTTTCTGGCCGGTAAGTTTATCGGCAGGTTGAACAGATCCCGAGCCTGCGCGGGCCGTCGGATACATATGGTGCTGAGTTGCGAATGTGCGAGCCTCATCAAGGGTTCACCGTTCATGTTTGCAAACTCGCCTGTCGGCATTCAGTTCCGCCATCCGATCTTGACCGCGTTCGAGCCGTCGATCGCCGCATTCGAGCTCTTGCGATCTGGATGCTGTCTAGCATGCGTAGAGCCATACGATGGCAGGTATCTAGGTGTGCTTCCGATCGCTGCAGAATGCCAGAATGAGGTGGAGACCCATCCCTCTTGGCGCCTTCCGTACGCAGGCCTGATCCTTCATGAAATCTATGCATATGCCAGTACACTAAAGACCTGTTGAGACGACTACAGGTTGCAATGGGGATGGACCCACGATTGATGTTCAGTACAGCTATTGGAGCGCGAGTATCGCGCTTCGGGCGCTTGAGATCCGCGCGGTTCATGGCCTCGCACTCGTTAATTCGTTCTCTCTAAAGTGCGACTCCCACTTCATGGCCCTAGTGGAAGAGACAGGCGAGAGGAGACGATAGGAGGAGGTAGGCACTGAATTGATGAGCCAGGGTCACTCCTGCTCAGTGTTCTACATGATCCAGTCCAGTCCGCCCCGGCCTATAAACGGGACTGGACTACCGTATGATCTCTCGTGACTTGTGAGAGTTATGCCTATAAACACTCCTGATAATGCATGTAAGCGCAAGCTAGCGCACCTATGGTTAGCGCGCCGAGCAATCATGCAACGTCAGGTGTTCAGCCTTCAGGGGCTGGCAGCTATCTTCATACAGCTGAACACGACTCTGTAGCTGGCAGTATCGTCAACTACACCTACACGATACTATCCTCCTCACATCTCCTCACAACAATGCAGCTATTGACCATAATGAACGATCAAGATTCCTTAATGCTATCTACCGATCCGGCCAGGCCACCCTGCACGCGTTCACCGGTTAAGGTCAAACTTCGACCAGGGCCCCGGAAACAGCCCATCGCAGTTGCCCCGCGTCGGTTTCCCCCTCCAGCCGCCTCTCCTTCCAGAGCCAAACGATGTCGAACAATTGAGTTCAAGCTCGGAGTATTCTCCTTGGCAGAACACGGACGGGTGGATGAGGGGAAAGGTGGGACACGAAAACCTACAAGACGGGAAGTATGTGTACGGTTTCGCCTCAAGCAACTAAACCAAGTTACAAAGTGGAAGAAGGTATGCTCTAAGACCATCAGACTATTACATAATCTATGGAGAGCTTGTTTCTAATCGCTGAGAACTTACCAACAGAACGAAGAGCTATTGCTTAAAGCAGATCAAAAGAAACAGCGTATACGGCAGCTTTCCTCACGGTGGAAAGATCTTGAGGAACAACTTGTGCAGGCGTTTGCGGAGCGGCGGAGACTGGGACGAGTTGTGCGCCGCAAGTGGTTTGAGCATACCTCGAAGCGGTTGTTTCAAGAGATTTGTCCTTCTACCACGGTCAAATTTCGATTCTCTGCGGGCTGGTTTTCTCGGTTTCTTCACTGCAACGATGTTGCACTCCGTGTCATTACCAATCAAGCTCGAGAAACACCCGAACAACTTACCGACACTGAGGCAGACAGTAAGGGTGAGGATGATGGTGCTGAGTACGATTTTCGTTGGCGAGCAGACGAGCTTTAGTTGGATTTGTACATATTGTAATGGATTCTGCGAAAAGCCCGAGAATCCTCTTCTAATTCATTCAGTCCGTCCGAGGGTGTGTGCTGGACGGACTAGGTAGTCCACCGGTAAGGTCGGATGGGACGGATTGCAGTCGACTGCCAAGAATGGTACATAGTACAGCTGAAATGAAATCATACGGCGACATTTGAATGAATGCAAGAGGGAGAGCTTCTCTATGTTACGAACATAGTTTCGGCTGTAACAACTACCTACTCTACGCCCTCCTTACATGGAGCGTACAACATCTCCTCGCGACTGCCCCGTCCAACCCAGGCATTTGGACAGGCTGCACCAAACAGCCTGGTTCCGTCCAAGCCTGAAAACGGACGGGCTGGACCATGTAGAATACTGCCCTAAGCTCTTCAAATACTCTGTGGCCTATCCCATGGATCGTAGGTTTAGACTTAGAGTTAGAGTTACAAAATGGTTACGCAAATGTACTCACCCCGGTAACTATATCTCGAAAAGTAGGCCATATAAGCCGAGAAGATTTGCGGAGAGGGTTGCTCTTCTACTTCCTGGCTACAATGTGGTGAGATGTGGGAGTCTCCACCCTTATGGTTGGTTTTGTAAATAAGACGAGGCATGAGGGACTTTCGCGTTCCGGCGAGCGAAGAATTTCAGACAAAAAGCTGGTTGGTTCAGCACAACCATTTTCTACATAATGGAAGTTTCAGAGAGCAAAGATATGGAATAGGTAGTAGAAGCCATCCAGCGTCACCAGCTCCTCAAAAGACAAAGCACGGATGAAAACACGCAGTGACACGGAAATCACTCGACAGCAGCCGACGTTCACACAAATCACACACCCGCCGTCCCAAAACAATTTCCAACTCACCCATTTTGCCCTGCGACATTGCACAACCAAATGGAATTTTCAACTCGTCAAAAGACAATAGGCATTACGTGCTATGCGCAGTCAATAGATATGAACATCAGATCAATTTCGGTATTTTAATGGAAGTTCTTGCTTGCTTGCACGGGCGTCGGTGGATCCATCTCCTTTGCATGTACATACTGCGTACATACTGCGTACATCTAGCCGCCGGCGGCTGGTGGCAAGCTTCGTCGTCGTCGTGCGCCATCTGTTTTGTTGGCAGTTGCCGCGTAGGGGCCCTGAAGTCGAATTCTGCACGGTTCTAGTCTCGTCTCTGGGATCTCGCCGCCGCTTCCGCTCATGTTCGGCTAACTACCTGCTACAAGCTACCGATACAAGGTAAGTAACCACTCCACAGGGATCCCGGAATCCCAGAATCCCGAACAGAGCGAGTGAGATTCCATGTACGAATGTCATCCCCCACGATACTCCAGAGCGCTCCCGTGTGCAATTCCGCAAGACTTTCCAAGTCCGTGCGCAGCCGTGGCCCGTGGGTGCAACTACTCGGGATCTCAAATACTCACAGTTTTATCCTCAGAACAAGACGCGGCGGAATCGTCGCTGACCAGCTCGCCGCGAGAGCAAGTATGAGTGAGTTGGTGAGTCGGTGACAACGCCCACCGACCCATCCCATCTCATCCCATCTCATCCCATCCCGGCCGAGTAACTGCTACCTAGTACCATCCGGCCACATCATATCACATCACATCACGCATGAGCATGAGCATGAGCATGAAGGATCACTCGGGAACCGTCTTCTTCTTCGTGCGGGAGGATCGGCGATCGGTGCCCTCCCGACCCCCCGACCCCGTATGTATGTATGTAGAGTAGAGACCTCGCTGGGTACAGTGTCGATCCGTGCACTAGAGCATGTAGAGTAGTGGAGCTCGAGCAGGGTCCTTCTGCGTTGGGTAAGTGTTCCTCATCCATGCTTATATCGTACTGGTACGCATTGTTCGCGAGCAATCTCTTCTCTTGTCTCCTTCCTTCCCTCCTCCTTCCCCAGACGTCTTCACTTGCTCGGGAGGATAGAGCCCGAGTCTACCGGTATGCGTCTATGTAGATGGCTACTACAGCAGTAGAGTAGAGTAGGTACGTACATATGCCCAGGAGGCTGCTACAGCAGTACGCAGATATTTCTACATAAGAGGCTGCCATAGCAGCACGTACGGTTATCGCGCGCGTCCCTTTCTTGCCACGATACCCCGATACCCTGATCCCGCCACCTCACAGCCCATCACTCGGCACAACCCCGACCCAGCGAACTTCCCCTCCCGATCTACAGTTCTGCATTGTCGATCAGGCCCGAGCCCCCGCCGCCGAGTTCCGAGCCTGGTCTTCCGGCTTACACATGTAGGTGGATCTCGTCCCGCCACACTGTGGCTCCGCGCTGAGCCCCCCGCCCCGCATGCAGGGTCTGCTAGGTAGGTACATCATAGCAGTGGGTAAATTAAAAGCGGAGATTATCTGCCTCATGACGCCATACGTTTCCTTGGGTCGGGGAATTTGAATTGCCGTCTCTGGGTGGGGCGGGACGTGTCGTGCATGCCCGGAGAGGGGGGGCGGGGCGGGGGGTGGGAGAGAGAGTGGAAATACAAATACATACATGTGGGAGGGGGTGCTGGGTGAGTGACCTGCTGTGCAAACGACGGATGCAAAGTGAGAGCGAGCGTCGACGCCACACAACTGGCACCACGAGCGTGGGGTTCGGGTACACTCCACTCCACTCTATCGTAGACGTCGTTGGACGATGGTGATGACGATGACAACGGAACTTCGGGGGGAGGAGGGCTGGTGGGGGGAGAGGAGACGATGACTGACGGGGTACGGTTGGGTTGTTCCGTCGCCGTTGTCGGTAGGTAAAGTGCCGCATGTACGACAGCAGCTCACGATCCGATTCGATTATCGTGATTACGGGGCTGGCGGAATTCCATCCAGAGTGAGGATTTGTGGCTGCTACACACTTACCGCTCTACCCCTCCTTCGCGAGAACTAGAAGGGGGCAGCCAACTCATCGCGCATCGGACTCGAGGAACGAGTCCGGGGCACATACGACCGACATACCACCGTGCATCCGTTCTGTGGTCTCGTGAGGGCGGGTGCGCATCGACGACATCATCGCACATGGTTGCGGACGTTGAGGTGATGTGAAGGGGTCCATTTGTGGCGGTCCGTGCCGCTCGGACGAGCCTTATGAGAGGGGGAGGGGGGAAGGAACACAGCTATTTTCCAGCTATCTGGCGACGCTGATTGACCACCGGCTTCCTGCCGAGTTCTGAGTGGTCGCACGTATTTGTTCGTCCTGGTGTAGTTACGGCAAGACAGATCACAACCGCACCGCGCCGTAGCCTGCATAAGAACGAGTGGCGTACAACGCATGTCGAGTAACATCGAAGCTGCATAAATAGGTAGCCAAGTACACTGCATTGGCCGAGGCGGATAGGCGTAGGGTAACTTGGGTGGGCAAGTAGGTCAGTAAGTACACTGTACTTGCGTAAGAAGTACTTACCGGCTATAGTTACTCTACTGTGGCATGCTCGCAGCAGCTCTGCACTCACAGGTAATAGCCTCCCTTCGTTTCTTTTCGTCGCCGAGAATCAGAAGTCGTCGCCGGCCGAGCGAGCTGCCGCGCTTGTCCACCGGCGAGTCGGCGACACGGAAGACACATTTCCACCGGCGACACTGAAGACACAGAAGACATCTCCACCGGGGACTCAGAAGTCGTTTTCCACCGGCGACACAGAAGTCACTTCTCCGCACCACCGCCATCATTGGCATCGTCATCACCATCATCCAAGTCTAGAGGCGGCCAGGTATGCGTACATACATGGCACCGCAGGTACATCAGACGATTCCTCAATCTGCACGTTTGCTTCTGCTTAGCTCGCTCGCTCCGCCGTGAAGGGGCAGTCGCAGGGGGGAAAGGGCAAGTTGCAAGTAGGCAGCTGCAATGCAGATTTGCGAGGCCTGTGCTTTGCATGAAGGCAGACAGACAGACAACACGAGTGCGTTGCCGGGAAAGAAATCCAACAGTTGCAATTCCATTCGCGACCAAGGGAATAACATGTTGGCTGCAGCATGACGACGGAGGAGGTGCGCTCGGAAGGCTGTTTGGCCACCGGGATTGGCTAAGAGGGTAAATAAAAGCTGGGTGGGGAATTGGGGGGCTCGACGACATGGCACAAAAACATGGATTGCGGCCGTTGGGAACACGGGTTGGGTTTCTTTTGCTTCTTTGCCCCCATCGAGGAAGCCGATCCTTAGCAAGACAGATGTGGCTGCTTCGCGCGCGCTGATTCGTGAAGAGAAAAGGATCGTGAGTTCCTGTGGTGTGGTGTTGCACTTTGCAAGCGGTGCGAGCCAAGCGGCCAGGCCCCGCCCCAGAAGCCACCACTACCACCACCACCGCCGGTAGTTACTAGCAACCAATTAGTTAGCTCTCCACCGACGCACTCTACTACATACCGCTCTACATATGCCAATCCTTCACCACTCGGCCCTACTCCGCTACTCTGCTCTCCTCTGCTCTGCTCGCCTCTGCTTCCCTCCCCTCTCCCCTCTCCCCTCTCCCCTCTCCCCTCTCTCCTCTCCCCTCTCCCCTCTCCCCTCTCCCCTGCTGATCCGGGCACTCTAGAGTATCGGTACTCTCCCCACCCACCCACCCATCCACCCACCGGCTCCTAGCGCGTTGATTGACGCAATGCATTGTGATCCGGCCTGTGTATGTGTCGTAATTACGATTGCGATTGTTCAGCGTCGACCGGCAATCCGTCGACGCACGAATCCGTTATCGCCCAACCGATGGATTTCCTTTTTGTGTCCTGTCGATTGAGTGCGTCTGTGGCTGGTCTGGGGTTTTGATGGTGGAGGTGGTGGTTGTGGTTGTGGTGGCGGTGGGTGTTGCTCGCTATACGACATCCGTGCGATAGAGTATATGACATGACGCAAGCCACGGTACATCCATAGTCGAGCACAATTTCGGCCAGGCAAAATGTGAGGGCACCGGCTGAGCTGCTTTGGGCTTTTCTGCCTACTTTGTGCTTGTCGAAGCGGAAGTCGGTGTTCTAGGCCCCTTCCACCACCAACACCACCAACACCACCACCACCATCGCGAACAACACCACCCCCTTCTGCCACCAACAACAATCCCCCTCAGGCCCCATTTTTTTCTTCCTTTTCCACCACCGAGAACTTATTTCGCCCATCGGTTGACGGCCAATTCCCAATCACCCCAATCCCCTAATTCTGACACATGGTGAAGCTAACTAACGGCCTGCCGTGGTCCAAACGGATCTCAGGTTTTTTTTTCCACCCTCGTTCCGGATCGATCGCCCCTTCCCATCCTGACCTTGCTTTTCCGAGGCAGGCAACCACTACTAAGTAGAGTAAGTACCTGGTACTCTGGTTACGCCCAGCTACTCTAGAATCTACACGGAGACGGGGTTCCCTTCCCTTCCTTCCATCCACACCACGTTTCTGCGGAAAGCGAGGAGCCGTAGGTTGGGGAAGTCCGGGCCGAGCCTGGCGGGGGAGAGGGGCAACTGAGCCCAATCATCCGCTCCTGGACCTCGTGCCCAGCCGCGACTCGGGACTCCTTCCCAGCGAGGTCTATAGGATGTTCCTTTCCTCCGTTCCATGTCATATGCTGGGAGATGCTTCGAGTATGTAACAACACTACTACTCTTCTCTAGTACCTACTCATGTAAGGGGCTGGATGATGTTCGAAGCCCCGAAACGGGTAGTTGCAGCCTGACCGTCATGTTCGACACTATCATCGTGAAGATGTTCGGTTTCATCTGCGCATCTACCGCCTGCTTGGGAACCAGTAAGCAAGCTGGAAACACATCTCCATCAAGACCTCCCCCACCCATCAACCTTAGCCTAACCGGCAGACAGGCAGAAAGGCTCCTAGCCGCCCCCATCCATCCGCGTGTCCGTCCGTCATCAAAGAAAAAAGAAAAAAAAACCCAACAAACCAAGCCCTCGGGGAAGCCAACACGAAGGGGCGGCCGTCGCGTTGTCACGGGTAAACAAGAGAGCACCAACACGACAAACAAAAGAGGGTCCGTGTGTCCGTTCGTTCCATCGTCGCCCATGCAAGATACGGAGCGATAACTAAGTCCCTACCTTCCCGACTGCGGCGATGGGTGGCCCGTGCACACGGTGAAAACCCGGTTTGAACCCCCAGCGCCCTGATAACTACGAGCCGATCGCAAAGGCTAGGCAGTCCTGGAGGGACGTGCGGCGGCCGCAAGCCGACACGCCCGAGTCCGTCGTAGCATAGCATACGGTAACAAGTACTATACATATCTAACCCTTCGCCCTTACCTTAGAGTACTATAACTAAGGACTTACCTACTCGACTCTACATCTCCAACTAGCTAACCGAGTAGGTGGTGGCGGTGGTGCTGGCGGTGGTGCTGGTGGTGTTGGTGATGGTGAGCGGGGCGGGGCGGGGCGGGGCAGGGCGCGCGGAGTGGCCGTCAAGTGACACGACACCACAGTCCCGATAACTACGTCCTCTACCTACACCAGAGTAGGCAAGTTCGCAGGTAACTAAGTTACTCTACCCCTTCCTAGACAGCCCGCCTCTCACCTAAGAACCGTACGTGTGTACGTGGGTAGCGGGAGAGGAGAGGAGAGGTGCCACGCTATTCCGTGTCGGCAAGCAAAACGTTGTTCGAAACAAGTTTTTTTCTTCTCTCCTCTCCCGGAGTTTAGGGAGAAAAGGGCGGGCGGGCGACGGGCGTATCCTATGTAGGGTAGGTACTCTACGTATCTAGGCGGAGGAGGAGGGAAGAGGGAAGAGGGGAAAGGGAAAAGGGAAGACGGCCACCGCTTACGCGCGCGCCGTTCCGCACTCCTGCCTGCCTGGCCTGCTGCCAGCTGCCTCCAGACCCGGTCGTCGAAACGGAATCTTCCATCCCTCCGCCAGGCTCCTCCTTCCTCGTCATGCTTCCTCCACCTTCCATTGCGCTAAAATCCTTCCTACCTTTCCTACCCATGATCGTGATTACCCACCTACGTAGGCTTGTGGGCTTGTGGGCTTGTTCGGCGGAGCAAAAAAAGGAAGAAAAAATGGCTTGATGGGCTTACGACATGGAAATCACCTGACTGACTAACACGTATTTCTGGCGTGAGGGGGATGGGGAGGACCCGGGGGGGTTGTTTTGGCTGTTTGAGCTTGTTTGCTTGGTTGGTTGGTTGGATACCAGCAACTGTGGCTTGCTGTGTGTGGGAATTCCCCAATCTGCTATCCTGGCACCGGGGGGACTCCCGACGGGCTGGCTGGCTGGCTGGGAAGAAAGGTTGGTGGTTCTTGGTTGGTGGCTGAGGAGGGAGTTGTGGTGGTATCGGGTTGACTCAGATAGTTAGAGTACGTTGGAATGTCACTATGGTCCTATGTAGAGTAGTTACCGATCTGTGCGAGATGTTGGTGTTCCCACGGCTCTGGGCTGAGACACACACGAAACGGGAGAAAAAATAACATACCTACTGTAGGTAGAGTAGAGTATGTATTCGCGCAATCACTCCCCACGGAGACCGGACCCGTGCTTATGTATGTAGCGATCCTAGAAGTTTCGGACCACGATTTCGGTTTCGTTGTTGCTTTCGTTCGATCGTTCGTCCGTCGTTTCTCTTGTGAGGAAAGTGACCATCTAACCATCGTGATCGTGCGGGGAAACTGGCAAACTGGCAATGGTAGCACCCGGCCGAACGAACGGCTGACGAAGGCCCCTGGCCGCCGGGGCTGAGCGTGAGTGGGGGAAAGAATATATCGCTCGAGAGTCTCGACTCGAGATGGACTCGAGATGGATCATGGGAGGGGATCGCGCAAAATTAGTAATTCTGCCCGCTCCGCTCATTGGCCACTGTTTTTGGACCGGCCATTTCAAAATTCAGGCTTTCATCTCAGGCTTTCATCTCAGGCTTTCAGGCTTTCAGCCCCCCCGTGAGTCGCGACGCCGCCCCGCCCCGCACCCGCACCGGCGAACATATGTATATTTACCTATGTATTTCGGCGGCTTCGGAGCTTCGGTGCGCTGTCACCACTGGCCCATCGCTGCATATATTGCGCGTTTATCTATCGGCCGGAGCCGCATCGGTACCGAAATAGCACGGCCCCGCGGCCGCCAAGCTATCGATTCCGTGAATAGCAACTTCCGGGCATCACTGCATGAGCCCCCGAGTGCATCGGGATCTGAAGGGCCCCATTCACCAATTTCCTGTCTGGCTGGATGCGATCGGAACTTCGTGCCACTGGACTTCCTCCCCCTCCCTCCATTACATATACCTACTACAACGTGGCTGATTATGATGATGAAGCTGATGATGAAGCTGATGATGAAGCTGATGGATAAGCCAAATATGTCTGCCTGCGGGCTGAGCTGTTTGTTTGTTTGCTGCGAACTCCGCTCGGAAATAGATCTCGCACAAAAACTTCATGTGAAATCATGTCAGCTTCCACATAACTATACCGCATCTCTCCCCTCCGCCCCTAACAATCTTTCCATCCATCCATCCATCTGTCCTTCCTCTCTCCTTCCTCTCTCTCTCTCTCTCTCTTTCTCTCCGAAACACCTCCGACTCCCGTTTTTGAGTCCCGAAGAGTTATCACGCCTATTCCTTGTGCCGATCCTCCCGCCTCGCCCCGGCCACTCCCCGGCCCCCCCGGGCTGTACGACGCTCGATCTCGGAGCCAGCGTCGCCATACCGACCACCGCATACCGATCTGAGATAGATATTATCCACATTTCGCTCCCTCCCTGTCTGCCCTCGTTCCCCCTACCCAGGAGCAACTATATAAGCAACTAAGCCCGATCCGATACGATGTCGCCGCGAGTGATGCCACGTGCCGACCCCCTAGCCGCCGAGCAGGGTCCGGCCGCAAACGATGGGTTAGGTATTTCCGACAACGCCGGCGGCGCTCAAAACCTGACCGCCTCTGCCGTCGCCGCCGCAGGCTCGGCGGTCATCACCGGCGGGTTCCAGGAATCGCTGTAAGCTCCCCCTCCCTCCCCCTCCCCGCTCGCCTACACTTCGACCTGCATTCATTTCGTTCATCCCCCCGCTAATTATTTTTTCTTTTTCCCGCGGATTAAAGACTGGGCCTGCACACCACCAACGCCATCCTCATGGTCGTGTTGATCGCCGTGCTGGTGCCGCTGGCGGTCACGGCGGTGTGGTTCATGTGTCGCCGGCGGCAGAAGAAGAAGGTAGCGGCGGCGGTGGCGGGGGAGAACGGGGATAGGAAGATGCGGCCGCTTACGCTGGTCGCGAGACACATCTCCGACGGCGGGAAGAAAGTCGAGAGGGACGTGGAGAGGGAGGGGGAGAGGGAGGGGGAGATGGAGGGGGAGATGGAAGGGGACAGGGAGAGGGAGGGGGAGAAGGGCTTGGTGATGGTTGAGGTCTCGCTTGCAGAGGAGGAGGAAGAGGACGCGGTCGCGAAGGCAAAGAGGGAGGCGCAGGCTCAGGTACAGGCGGAGGCACAGGCGGAGGCTCAGGAACAGGCACTGGATCAGGCATTGGCACAGGCACAGGCGAAGCGGGGATGGTGGAGGTGGAAGACGTAGACGTTCTAGACGTAGACGTAGACGCATAGTAGGGTGTTGGCGTTGGTTTACATGCATACAAGAAATTTGCACGATGGCCGAGGAAAATGGGCAGGTATTCATTCAATTCGTTCATGCATTCAGCGGAGACGGCAAGATTATTTCCTTTTGCGTTTCTTTCTCTTTCTTTCTTTCTCTTCTTCTTCTTCTTCTTTTTTTCTTTTCTTTTCCTTTTATGATACCTTTTATGATACCTTTTATTCCCTTCTCTTTACCTTTTCATGACGTTCACGGACAACGGGGGAATACTGTAGATAACGGACAGATATTCATGGGCGGCAATGCTGGTGGTGGAAACGGGAGGTGGTAAGGTACAGGAATATCAACAACAGAGAGTCGAGACTCGAGACAAATGCATGCAGCAGCAGCGAGAAGGAAGGAGGTCTGGTTTCTTCATATGTAGGATGTAGCTGGCCTCTCTCGAGTCTCGAGCCGCTTTCCCCCAGAGCATGCTTTGTATGTACCATTTGCATCGTGAGGTTTATTTTATCTTGTTTTGTTGCGCTTTTGTGATATCGTCTAGAGCATGTAGAGTACGTTGCATATACAGTGCCTATGGCCTGGCCCGGCCCTTTCTTCTTCTCTCGAGTCTGTCTCTCTGCCTTCGGCAATTGCACGAATAGAGTAGATACCCAGACGCCATGTACAGTCCGCACACAGCAACAAGTTCCATCCCTTCCTTTCCCAGTTCCCACCAGCATCCCTCTCTGGAGTCTCGACGACGACGATGTCACATCCATCCAGAGTAACTGGTAACCGCCTCAATGCCTCACAATTCCCAATGCCTATCCGCCAGAAAAAACCGCAAATTTAGATTCGCCCTCCATCCCCCCGGGCGGGCCCCCGTTTCCTTTTCCCACCCTAAGGGAGTACACATGACCCCCCTCCCTACCTGCATATGTAGCTCCGCATACCTGCTTACCTATATGTATACTCACCAGCTGCCGTATGTGTGCAGTAGCGGATGATTATCGTGAGGTCGTTCGTGAGTAGACAGATACCTGATAAAGAGAGAGAGAGAGTTCTTGCCCAGAAATGCAGATGCAGAGTACCGAAGGTACACAGTAGAGTACATGGTGGTACGTGTATGCTTTCGGGGAACTCCCACCACATCATACTCTGGAGTACGGTACCACTTGCCCTCTCCCACAACGACGTCGCCCCTTCCAGGCTTCCACCCTCTGGAGTCTTGCTATGTGCATTCCCCCGTCCCCGTCCTTGTCCCCCGTCGCGAAATCGTTCCATCGCCCTATCGCGACTGAAACCGTTAAAGAAGGAAGTTAGAACGAAGGAAGGAAGGAAGGGGCGGTAGAAGTTTCCCCCCCTCCCACCCATAAATAAAAAAAAAAAAAAAAAAAGCACCAGCAAGTTCCCGAGAGCGCGGGCGGGGGCGCGGGCGGGCGCGAAAGCAAGTACAACTGTGCAAGTGCGCACCCAGGCCCAGGTTGTATGTAGAGTATGTATGAAGAAATGTAAAGTACTAGGTCAAAAGGTTTTCGTACGATGGCCGTTTTACACCAAAAATGCCCATTTTCAAGTAACCAAAACCCACCCTTCACGTGGCGGAAAAAAATCGAGTCTTTCGTAGAAGCTTTAGAATTGCAAGATGCATCACATATAAGAAGTCTGACGACTTTTGCTTCGGATTGGTGGCGCATGGTACGGTGTTGTGCACGGGTTGGAGAGTGATTTCAGATTTTGTATGGGGCCCCCACACAAAATTATTGCGTGACAACCAGTTTCAACACCAACTTCTCTCCCATACGGCATTACTCAACCACCACCAGTTAGAATTATGTGCCGATTTCAATCTAGGTTCTCTACCCGATTTAGAAGACCATATAATGGTCCACATATTTTTATACTACCTTATGGTTGCTGTATCTATGGCGGGAAATGACCTACCTCGGTGAAAGGGAAATCCGCCAAGCCACTCTACTTCGCATAAAATAATCCGCCTGGCGAGCTGGAAATCTCATTGAAGCTTTATTAGTATATATTCGTGATATATGCCAATTATTAGTACTCTCTTAAGTGTGGTTGTTGTGTTATAGAGATATATGTCTGTGGTGTGGTGGCGCTTTTGGGGGAGGTGTACGAAAACTTTTGGCCTGGTACTTTATGTAAACATCCACAGCGCACATCCACATCGCACAGCGATGTATGATGTATCATACTCTACATATCATATGTACCCCCCGCCCAACCCCAACCACCTCGAAATCACGGTAAGTATTGTAAACCGGACCAGCCTCCCGCCGTCATGCAGATTGCCGTCGCACCACCACCACCACTACTCTACACCACTACTCTACACCACCAAGTTACACCGCTACACCACTGCACCAACTGCACCACTATGATATGTAGCGTATGTAGCGTATGTACGTAGAGTAAGTCGAGTAGAGTACGACCGTCCACACACACACCCACCATCCCAATCACCATTCCCTAAGAACACATCTATCCGGACCAAACCTGAGAGTGAGTGCGAGGGCAGGCAGTGGCTGCAAAGTGCACAGTGCACAGCTGCGGATGGTTTGCCGTGTCTCACTACCATCATCCACCATTCGCCGCCGCCGCTGCCTCATCCTCCGTGGAGCTGCCTGGAGCTGCCACTGCTCTTCCCTGGAGCTACAGTTTATAGACCTATGTAGGGAGTTGACATGCGGAAGCAAGAGAGAGATGGACGAGCCATAAGGAGTCATCGTCGAAACGACCGGCGAAGTCCTCTCCCGGGTCCTTTCCCTCCCAGGTCGCTTCCCTCGCACAGCTACCGGTATCTTTCCATCTACCAATCTATCCCCGCCAACCGCGTGCCGAGGGCTCTACTTTAGGTAGAGTACCTGTGTAAAGTGCGTAACTACTGTGTGGTATCATATCTTGCACAGGTGCAATACTGCTCCATCCATAGTAGAGGACCGTAGTTATCGACGCCGGATGACGTACTCTAGAGTAAAGATGATGCACTTTACACATGTACTCTGGGGGAGAAAGTGTGTGGTGGTGGTGGTTGTGGTGGTGGAAGGTGAAAGGCGAAAGCCTGGCTGCCTGGCTGCCCAGTGGCTGCCCAGTGCCTAGTGCCTGCCCGCCTGCCTACATACCGTACACACTCTAGGTACTGCCTAGTGAACACGCGCGCCGCGCCGCGCCGCGCCGCCCCGTGCCGCAGCAGCGACTCTACATACTCTACTCTACCGATGATGTGGGTGTGTATACGGTATTCCCGGTGTGTGTGTGGTGGATGTGTGGTGGGTGTGTGGGTTCGTTTGCATCTTTGCTCTGCTTTGTTCGGTTTCTCGTTTCTCGTTTCTCGTTTCGCCTGATGCCTGATGCATATACTTACGGTAGGTACGGTCGTCGGTAGTAACTTTAGCCATACTGGCCCCGGGGAACAAAGGAGGAAAGAACGGAAAAAAAGAAAAGAAAGAAAGTCAACCCCACTATGGGGCCCGATGCAAACCTGAAGAAGAATTAAGGCTTAATATAAAAAAGAATAAAAATAAAAAAGAGTAAAAACGCCCGTCGCTTCGCGGCGGCATGGCTCGTGCTCACTCACATGTGTACTATAAGCTGCAGCGTACGATGCCCGACTGCCCGACTGCCCGACCCCCAACTCCCGACATCCGAATGCCGATCCCGTCCCATCCCGTCCATTCCCGTCCTGTCATAGCCTGGCCGACTCCGCCTGCGCACTCGCCGCACTCACCGCCGCCGCACTTACCGCCGCCGCACTTACCCTCGCCGCCCCCGCCGCAGACGCCACCGCCACTAACCCCAGCCAGACACCCAGAAAGGCAAAGATCCGATCTACTAGCACCCATCACCCATCGTCCATCGCCCGCCACCAATCGCCCGTCCATGCACCCCCCCTTCCCCCTTCCCCCGCCCAGCGACCAGCCCGATTCCGATTCCGATCCCCGCTCGCTCCGTTCCCGACGGCCGACGCAAGCCACAGGCCACAAGCCACAAGCCCAAACCACAAGCCTAAGTAACAAGCCACAAGTCAAGTCAATCCGTCGTATTTTTGGCAAGCCGCAAGCGCTTCCGGGCCATAGTCATGATCTCATCTGTATGAGTCTGTGAGATCTCGACTCTCGACTCCAGCACTGCCACCGCCCCACCGTCCCACCGCCCCACGCCCCGCCGCCACCTCTCCCGCCGCCCCACTACCTCCCTAACGGCCTACGTCTACCGGCTATCTAGAGCGCCCATCCCCCCCCTCCCCCCCCCCCCCCTCCCCCCCCACCACACCTCCTATATCCACTAGATATACAAGTAAGTAGGGGGTGGACATGAGCATGGGCATGCCAGATCCGATCCCGCGCCCCACGCAGCGCAACGCACCGCACCGCACCGCAACGTAACGCACCGCACACTCGCTCAAGGCAAAGGCAAAGCATGCACTTCCCGCTCCCGCGTACCGTTCCGGATCACCGCGAGCGAGCGAAGCCCAAGGAAAAAAACCATAACCCCCCTCCCCCTCCACCCCCAGGAACGTCACCGGAACCCCCAGGAACGTCACCGGGACTCAATGATCAATGATAAAACAAGACGGGAAACGAGCGGAACGACACGACGGGTGTCTGATATTATATGTATATACTCTTACTCTTACTCGGGTAAGTGAAGAAGTAGAAGAAGAAGAAGAAGCCAAGAAGAAGAACAAGAATCAAAAGAAAAAAGAAAAAGAAAGAAACAAAGAAAATACAAAGATGCTCCAGAAACAATCCATCCCACCTCCCGTGGAAAGCGAGAGAAAAAACAAACCACATGACGTAGGTATTCGACTCCCACACACGGAAGGGGAGGCGAAGGGGAATTGCCCGACTTATCACAAGTCTCAAGGGCTGAGAATCGCCGTAGAGTAGAACCTGAAGAGTCCAGACAGGCACCGGACCGAACAGTAACGAAAAAAACATGAAATCGGAATCAAAACTCAAAAACGAATAAACCACTCCAGAAACCAAGACAAACATCCACAACACCAAAACACACTCCCCCTCCCCAGGTATAAACGATAATGCTGCAGAGAATAATGACGAGAGAGCACGCAACTAGGAAAAAAGAAATCTGGGTGTGAAACCAAAACCGAGACGGAAAAATAAAGCACAGATAAACCTCCGATGCAAAAACATTGAAACAAGCACACGAGAAAGCAGTAGAACGAATCCGCAAGAAATAGGTGAATCGAGGAGCCACCGCGAGAAAGCCGCCGGGCGAATCCTCATCCCCCACTGAGTTGATCTTCTGGGTCCTCCCCTGCCGTGTATACAGACGCACACACACACAACACAGCACACAGCACACACACAACACCATCCCCCCCTCCGGTGACCGGACCGAGAAAGCTCGTTTCTTCGTACAATCGTGACAGGATAACATGGAAACCAGCCAAACCAGATGCCAAAAAATCATAAATATAGACACCCAACAAAGCACAGATACGACGCCCTACCCACAATGTACGAGAACGAAGGTAACGACGGGACGAAAAAAATAGACCCTCCAAGAACCGAAAAAGACCATGCAAAGTACAAAACTACCGCTAGGCGCCCGCGGTGATGATTACTTGCTGCCGACTTGCCGATCTACGGTCTGTGCTCGGGATTGAACGAGAGTGGGAGAAATCAAAGTTAAATATTGTAGTTGAAAGGTGCAGTAGCAACACACCGATGCGTGCCGGAGCCTGCCGAGTTATAGGCCGGTCCGGAAATTGAGACGCATTAGCATGTCTCCGTCGGCCGCAGACCGTGCTTGGTGCTGCGAAAGCGGAGGCCCGGGCTGGGGCGTGTCGATGAGACCTGCAATCTGCATCGACGGGATCGGCCCATTGGGCGAGCTCGGGCCTGAAGACGTTTCGCGATGGCTCGGGTGGAGCATGGGCGGATGAAACGTCAGGTGGGGCTGCGGCGACACGCTGTGGTGTTCGCCGGACGAGCGATGCGAGCCCGGGGAATCCGGCCGCTGCGACGAGGCTGAAGCGCTCGACGGCGGTGGCGGATAATAGCTCCCCGGCACCTGCGAAAGCGTTGGTGCCGGTGGCCCCTGCCCGTAACTTGACGTGTACGTCGAAGAAGATCCATTCATAGGTGGAGGAGGGAAGGTGTGACCGGGAGCTGGAAGATGGGACGAAGGGGAGGGAGGTTGATTCGAATAATGACCTTGATAGTCATCGGCCGAACTTCTCCTGCCGTAGGCGCTCTGAGAGTGCCCAAGCGGCGGTGGTAGTTGATGACTCCGGTCTTCCTGCGACATGTATGGTGGATCGCCGTTTACGTGGCCGCCGGGGCTCGGAAGGTTGTACCGGTTGTCATGGGACGCTGGGAGCGGGAGTCGAACGTTGTCGTGGGTAGGTTGCATGATGTAGCCTTGCGGTAATGGTGCGCCGTGAGGTCCGTACACTGTCTGGCGACCAAGGGCCGACTGCGGAGCGGGCACGAAGGCTTGTATCGGGCCGGTTTGAGACGAGACGGGAGTGAAGACGCATTCTTGGTTGAACCGCATACAGTTGGCACACCTACCGTCCGGGGAGGTCTCGAATCCAGAGCATCGGATCTGCAACAAATTGTCCGTCAGTCGCAATTTTCGAGATTGGAGGGGGGGGAAGTGGGGGTTATGGATTGGGGGGAAGGGCACGGGAGAGAGAGGTTGTTTCTCATCACTACATACCTTTCTCCTCCGACAATACCTGCAGGCAATTGCGGTCCGTTGTCTCGGCGCGGGCTGCTGATGGTAGTGTGGCGGGAGGTGGTAGGGACTGTGATTCGGAGGACCCGGGGGACCACCCATACCGTTGGGATTTGGAGGAGCGAACATGTTGAGGTTTGCGTGCCGACTCAATGCTGCCATCGGCTGACTGTGCGAAGGATGGGAGGGAGAAGGGTGAGGAAGTCTTCTTAAAGGTCAGTCCAGGGCTCTAGATTGAGCAGTACGAACGGGGCGATGAGGGGGTTGGCCTAAGGGAAGTGTGTTCGGAAGACTTGGGCGGACAGGACAGACCTAGTAGACCCGGATGGACGAAAGCGGGGCGAGGTGGTCGGCGGAGCTTAGCAAGCGCGCTTTGGAGTGGCTGGTGGAAGACGGTGTACAAGGCTACGATCCGGATGGACGCGAGGAGTGGAAGGGGGGGGCGAAAGCTGGAAGTTTGGTTGGCGGGAGTGTTGTTTGGAGTGAGGATGAGGGGTTGCGCCGAGAGTGTTGGAATGGGAGGGCGTGGTTGGACGGGCGAGGAGGATGTAGATGTAGGACTGGGTGGCTGCACTGGTGTGATGCTTTCTTTATGGGCCGGCGGGAGGAGGAGGAGTGGTAGATAGGTGCGTGGGAGCGAGGGTGTTGGTTGAGTGAAGATGTGTGTGTGTGAGTGTATGTGTGTGTGAGTGTGTGTGGGGGGGGGGATGAAGATGTTTAAATGTATCCCGGTGCTGGGAATTTATGGGGGGGAGGGAGTGTGTGAGGGGGGGTAGTAGTGGTTGGGGCGGTGGCCGAGGAATGTGTGGTGGTAGTGGAGGTGGTGTTCAGAAAGTCTCGTGCATACGCATGGTCCACGAAGGCTGCGGGCGGCGGGAAGGGGAAGCAGGGATGGTGGACCAGACGAGCGAGACAACGACACCGGGAAGGGTGATCTCAGCGGGAAGCCGCTTTCACCGAGAACGCAGCCCGAAAGGGACAGGGTCGTCCGAGTGGACAGATCAGTACTGGGCGGACGGGCGATGGATGGGCGGAGGATGAGTAAGGGTGAGGAAGAGTTGTTGGAAGAGGGAAGGAGGGGGAGAAGGGAAAGGAAGGGAAGGGAAGTGAAGTGAAGGGGTGAGGGAGGGAGGGAGGGATGGAGGGATGTCCCGCTGACTGCGTGCGCGAGGGGCAGACAGGCGGAAGACGTGCGAGCGTGCGTGTGAGTGTGAGTTGAGTGTGAGTGTGTGCGACGGGTGAGCGAGGTAGGCAGGCAGGAAGGCAAGTGGCCAGCCAGACGGAGGCAGGCAGGTGGCCAGCCAGAGGGAGCCGGGCAAAGCGGGCTGGCGGTTATGTGATGTGGCTGGGCTTTGACGAGGAACAGGCGGTAGAAGTTCCCCCGGAGTTTCGCTTTCACGGTTCGGCCGTCTCGCTGTTACCAGAGTGTCGGGACGAATGGGGAGGGGTCTATCTCTTAAGGAGTTGTTCCCCTTCGCGTGCGTTGCCAGCTCCTGGGTAACGTGCAGGAACCGCTGCCGATAGAGATTCGTGTGTGAGGCGAGAACGAGACGGCACCGAGAAAAATAAAATAAAGGTTTCCCGTTTCAAAAACTGTAAATGCACATGCGGCGCCCGGGAAGGCAAGGCGGAGTGCTAGGGAAACCAAGAGTTTTTTTTTAGTTTTCTCACAAAAAATATGAAAGCGAAAAAGGAAAGAAGAAGAAAAGAAGGAAAGAAGGAAAGAGAATTGGCCAGAGCCAGTCGGATGGGAGGGTGGAGAGTGGAGAGGAGAGAAGAGGATGGAAGCGAGAAGCAGAGGGAGATGGCGGAGGGGTGGAGAGAAATAATAGAGAATTGAGTGGAGAGAGCGGGGAGGTGGAGAAATAATAGAGACGTGGACAGAGAGAGAGAGCGGAGACGTGCGCGACGTGGTAGTGGTAGTGGTAGTGGTAGTGGCAGTGGTAGCGGTGAGTTTGTTGTGGTACGGGTTGAGGAGGCCGAGCAGGTGTCGATGGATCGACTCGGCGATTCCAGCAACTATGTCTCGGCGATGCGATGTACGGTGCGGCCCTCCGCCGTCGGTGGAGTGACGGTCGTGGCTACAGACGGCCGGGTGATCTTTCTTGCGCGGGCGGGACGTGGGAGGGGACGAGGGGGAGGGGGGAGGAAGAGAGGGGGAGGGGAGGGGAGGGGCGGAGGAGGGGCGGAGGAGACGACCGGGCACCCTCAGCGAACGCTTTGTACGGACAGTGAGGATTGGTGAGCAACGGGACAAAGACAACGACAATAACAACAACAACAACAATAACAGCAATCACCACCACCAACAAACAGCAATGGCCGACGAACGATGATGGATGGATAGTTAGGGAAGGGGGGATGTGACGATGATGATGATGGTGATGATGATGATTATGGTGAATGACGACGTCGATGAATGACGACGATGATAGTGGTGATACACCTTCCACTCAGCCAGCGAATAAAGTGAACGAACGACGGAACAAACGTGAGTGCGCAGTCGACTCGGATCCGATACCCAATCGTCTAAGACGCGATCGTGAGTGCTGACTCGAAAACAACAGGGAGCAAGCCGTCAATCAATAAGGAAACAATATATCAGCATCTGGCCCGGGTTGTTGTCGGCGGGCGTGTAAGCAATCCGAATCCACAGCGCAGGAACTGATTGATTGATTGATTGATTGATTGATTGATTGATTGATTGATTGATTGAGTTGCGGGAGGGGCTTTGCGGATGTGAGGTGTGTGGGTGCGTGTATGCGCTTGCGGGCTGTCGGTCAGAACAGAATTCCGCGCGAAGAGTCGGGTACCGGCGGCGAAGAGGGGAAGGTCCAAAGGGGTAGTTTTGCTCTTCCCAGAGTTCTTCTCCTAACGCCCCCCGCCGGGGATGGCCTTGATGGCTGGACGGGGTGGACTGACTGGCTGGCGGGCTGGCCCTGGTTCTGGTCCTGGCTCGGGTCCTGGTTCTGGTCCTGGCCCTGGTTGTGGTTCTGGTTGTGGTTCTGGTTCTGGTTCTGGTTCTGGTTCTGGTTCTGGTTCTGGTTCTGGTTCTGGTTCTGGCTCTGGCTCTGGCTCTGGCTCTGGCTGCTGGCTGGCGGAGCGGGGCGAAGGTGTGCACCAGCAATTGCGAGCAAAGACGGACTCGGAAAAGAGATGTCGTGAGGCTAGCGATCGGGTTGGACCAGGAAGGAGAGCAAAACAGCGTTGGAGAGAACCGACAGAGAACCCCGCCAAACGACGATGAGAAAAAGCGATAAATTCCCGACAGCGATGATGTGTGTACCTACTTGGGACTACAGAGGATAAAAAATAAAATCGTGGTGCTCTCCTAGGGACAAGGGGGGAAGGGAGAAATAAAAAGACAGCGCGGAGCTGAAGAGTACAAGGTGACGGGCTTCCCCAATCAGAAGCGGCACTCAACCCCAAGCAGCACAGCGAATTGGGCAGAGTCCGGAGAGGGAGGAGGGGCCCCCCTTGTTATCGCGAGACCAGCAACCGACAGACAGCGAACTGAGAGCAAAAAAGCACGGAACAGCGCGGCCCAACTGCCTGCCTACCGACCTGCCTGCCTGCCCACATACATACATGCCACCTCTCCGCTCCTCTTTCCGCGTACTCCCTCCACTGAGTCGGAAGACGAAGCAGAAGACGAAGCAGAAGACGAGGCGTGGTATTTGCAGAGTGGTGACAGCAGGAAGTAAGAAGTATGTAGCAGCGGCAATGCGATAGTATAATGACGATGGTTATGTATGTATGCGATAGGTATGGCCCGGCCGCGCTGGCCGTGGTCTGTCCGTTCTGGTCTGTCCATTGTGGCCCGTCCGTTCTGGTCTGTCCGTCTGTCTGTCTGCGGGAGAGCCAGCCAGCTAGCAAGCACGGATTCAGTTACATACGTCGCGGTTCCGGATCGAACAGATGGTGCCGCTGGTTCCCATGGAACCTCTCTCTCCCTCTCTCTTCCTGGGCAATTGCAAGCAGCAACAGCAGCAGTATCTACTCGTCCATAGCAGAACAGCTGTATGGCCGTGGTTGGGCGGTTGCACGCAGCAGCGTTGCGCAAATGCCACACCACTCGCGCCGTGATCGATTACGGCTCACTTGAGCCGCTGCCTGATCCTGACCCCCCTCTCGGGCCCGGGCCCGGGCCCTGGCCATGCACACCTCGTCTCGTCTCGCCTCGCCTCGTATCTAGATTGTCTACCTGCCAAAAAGTCCTACGCGTGTCACGCTCCACTATGGCGGCACAGCTTTCTATCTGTCTGTCAACATCCCTCCCCACAGTCCGTCTCTCTGTCTCTGTCTCTGTCTCTCTTTCTTTCTCTCTCTCTCTTTCTCTCTCTCTCTTTCTCTCTCTCTCTTTCTCTCTCTCTCTTTCTCTCTCTCTCTTTCTCTCCCTTCCTCTCTCTCTTTCGCCCCGTCTCTCCCAGGAAGGATCGAGTGTCTTGCTGGGCGAGGGGGCGGGCGGGCCGGGGGGTACAGTTCGTCTGGATCAACTGTGATACATCCACCAGCCACTCGGATCCCCCAGCGATTGGCAGCAGGGTATCGTCAGTCAGTCCACATCACAGCGAAGCAAAGCGAGAGAGAGGCAGAGAGAGAGAGAGAAAGAGAGAGAAAAAAACACACACGTCTGTCAGCGCGGTCTTAGGATGCAAAGAGTTGTGTGCCTTCCCCCTCCCCTCCCCTCCCCTCCCCCAAAAGCGGGTAGAAATCTTTTACCGATTCGGAATGCACCGTAATCGCGCTTCCGCGAAGATCAATCAAGAATTGATCGCTGAGGCCATGACCGTCCGGTGAACCAACCACAGCGTCTAAACCCTTTCCATTCCCCCCGCCCACTTTCGACGTCACCAACCTCCGCGTACTTGTGTGTGTGTATTTGTGTGCGTGCGTGTGTGCGTGCGAGCCGGGAGAGGGGGGGAGGGTTCGCAGTAGACTCTTCTCTCCCGCCGCCGCCGCAGAGGGTACTGGTCGTCGAGAGGCTCCAGCAATATTATCGTTGCGAGCGAACTTCGTAGGGAGAAAAAAAAAGGAGTGGTGTGGGATAAAAAGTCTAAGCCTCTGGGGTTTCGAGGGAAGGGGGGTGTGGGCGTCTTGAGCGTTGATATGCCGGTACGGTCGGGGTCGTGCGAGTGCGCATCGGTGTATGGTGGGACCGCAGCTTCGGGATGATGGAAGGTTGGTGGTGGTGATGTCACCGGAGCGACCGTTCGGGAGCCTATCTCTTCCTGGAAGTTGCGGGGGGTGGTGGAGAGGCAGAGGCAACTTTCCTTTCGCCTTGTGAGTTACCGCCGCCGTAAAGGGAACTTCTACTCTACCTAGGTTCTCCACATACGCTGTGAGAGCGATCACATCACATCACAGCACAACATGGGAGGACATCGGATCCGTACTCTACTCTACCTACTCTGGAGGGCGCCCCTCCACCACCCACGCTCCGTAACACAACCCCATCATCCACCATCATCATAATCATCATCACCACCACCCACCTCCACCCCCACCCACCACCCACCTCCACCAGCATCCCCGCCATCTAGACTGGACCCTTTCTTTCCGACTTTCTTTTTTCACTTCTTTCCCTTCTATTCTGCTGCTGCTGCTGCTTGATTACCTACTTGCACGCACACATGGAATTTCCTTCCTTTTGCAGCGGTTCCTCTCTCCACATTTAAAGCAGCAATGATGTGATGGTTATGTGCCTAGCTAACTGCTTCCACATATGTACGTATTTATTACCAGCCGCCCCGCGCACCAATGCCCTCTCCCCTCCCCTCGGAGAAGAACACTTCAGCAGACTCCACTCCCTGGATTGTGTGGGCATGGCGGCGGCTGAGATCCCGGCGAAATGCAGGTTACATCCATCAGTGCGAAGGGTAAGGGAAGGGAAGGGGAAGGGAAGGTATGTATGATATGTAGAGCGATGCTCCAGCAGGCAGGCAGACAGCTCTTTAGCTCAGGCACAGCGAGCGAGCGAAACCCGACCCGACTCCCCTACTCTACACATACATGCCTCGCTCGTACCCCAAATTCCCCATATCACTTTATTTCCTCTCTTAACATTCTCGGTATGGCAGTTCGGTTCAGCCGGCGGATCCAATCAGCTGCATCACAGTTTAAAAAAAAACACATTACACAAGTACTTGCGTCGGGGGGATGGGGGGGGGGATGGGGAGGGGGGTTGTATGTAGATTATTCCCTTAACCGCCGCAGGCCGCCACCGTGGTGGGTATGTAGGCCTTAGTTACATGTAACTTTTTTTTACACACTCTACATATATTACGATATCATATTTTCCCCCTTCCTTCCTTCCCTTTCGCCTTCGCCCACTCACCAATCAGCGTTCGCTCCACCTCGCCAATTGCGCGAGCGGCCCGCCCCGGAAAACCCCATCTCTTCCCTTCCCTTCCCTTGCACCTTCCCTTCCCTTGCACCTTCCCTTGCCCTTCCCTTACCCTTCCTAATAATGACGAAAGTCGCTCTCTCACTCTCACTCACACACAACCACCACCACACATCCACATAACCCGCAACCACAACCTTCTTTTTCTAGTTCATATCCCTGGCTGCAGATGTGTATGGTGAGGGTGGAGAAAAAGGAGCGGGGGGGAGGAGGGCAAGGAGAAGTGGGGAGGGGGGGTGGTGGATTCATCCCATCTTTTTTTCTTCTCTTTCTTCACGTTCGATCGAACTTTCGAACGAATGAGCGCTGTGGAATCGTGAAACCCACCAACCGGAGAGGGAATATCAAAATGTGCCCTCGTCAACGATGACTCCCGGAAATGTTTCCCCGCCGGACCAGCGCAGACATCACCCCCCCAGCCTACATACCAGGCTTCGCACTCGCCCACCGCCCACCGGGCTGCCTCTTCTCATTTCTCATTATTTTGTTCCCCCCTTCCGTCGTCCGTCGTACCGTACGCACGGCGAACTGCGTCGTCAGCCCCCAAGGTACCTATCGTACGCTACATACCACCTACTACCTACCTAGGTGGCATGCTATGTTATGCAAGCGACAACTATCGTCCACCCGAGAGTAGATTATTCTTCACAAAATAATAATACATAATCATGACCGTTTAAAGTCGTGATTCGTGAACGTTTTCCAAGATTGCAGATTGTGTATTCGTCGAAGGAAGGACACGTTCAACGTTCCACAACCGTCCCCGCCCCACTTCGCCCCGCCCTCCCGCCCCGCCACGTCCCGTACTTCGAGCGAGACCCGTAACCATGTTCATCCCCCCGGGCCCCACCCCACCCCATGCCATGCCATGCCATGCCACCGCTTTACCCGCCGTGCTCCATTCTACATCGAGTACGTCTATCTATCTAGATCTCCGCCTACCTAGGCTTGGTCCCCGATCCGATCCCGACGGAGACTACTCTACTCCTCGACGGCGTCGTCGTCCTCACCTTCGGCGTCCTCTTCGTCGTCCTCACCGTCGGCATCCTCATCGTCGTCACTGTCGTCGTCGTCGTTGTCCCCGGCGTCAGGCTTGATGACACGGTTGAGATATGTGATCTGTTCCAGTCAGTACGTCCCCGGCACGAGTTAATATACCATGTATATATAAATATATGTACGGTAAGCCAGTCCAATGTCCATGGGCTCTGAGCCCGCGGGGTATGCTAGAATATCAAAATTCAAATAACGACACCTACAACAATATCGACGATGGACATCTATCTACCTAGGCAAGCATGAGTGATTGGAAGGTATGGGCTTACCAATGGCTCCATGTTTTTGAACATATCCAACACTCGGTTCAGGAACTCTGGCGAGAGCACATCTTTATCGTCCAGCGTCTTGCTGACAGTGAAACTCTTCAGACGGAGGAGTGCGATGTCCTTGTGATCCTTTGGATAATTCTGCAGCACGGGGAGAGCGTTTCATGCCAGGTTAGTTAGGTACATACTCGACGGACGGCTATGGGTATGGTATGTATGGGGCAAAAGAAAAAAAAGGAAAAAGAAAAAAACAGGTTGCGGATTGGCATCCGGGGTGGGCACAAAAAGGGTAGAACGGTAATGATGATTCAGTCGTACAAGGTGACGTGACGAATGAACGGCGCTGACGGTACCGCCGGTGGGAATATAGCAGGCTTCACCGGGAGCAGGTAAGGTGGGGAAAGGATCTGAGCTGGCGGGAAGTGGAAGACGTGCATGTGCGAAACGAGGCACACCTCACGCTAAGCTAGGCAAAGCATCCTTTGGGAGAGGCTCGGAAGGATGGCGGTTTTATACCTGTGCACATTGCGCTCCTAGTCGCCGTCACCGACGACGGGATCGGGAAGGGCTTACCCACGATTAGGCCGAAGGAAGCTGGAGCCAAGCACATGGTACCCGTCGTAGGAATAGGGCAAGTGATATAACAGCCGAGGGACCGGGTGAAGAATATGAAAGAAGGGCTCGGGTGCGGGCGCAGGGCAATGCGCACATAGAGTGGATAGTTTGCCATACCTTAGGTGCAGTTTTCAATGCATACGCTGCGTTCGCCGCGACAAATGATTTGACCATGTTCTTCTCATTTCTCTTGGACTTTCCGAAGAACTCCGTGGCAAATCCTTCGCCTGTCAGGACTCTTTTGAGACGCTCAGGATGCTTGTCGATGCTGCGTCGAATGAGACCCAATGCCTGTGCTTCTGGATGCCAGAGCCCGCCAGCTGAGCAGAATAAGGACACAACAAAGTTAGTCCACCCGCTTCTGAGACATCTGCACTGTTGGCGCAACGGGACAATGAACGGAATATCAAGGGGGCGCCAACGAACGGGTCGGCAGAGCCTTCCGTGGGTGCGCGTGTGTACGACAGAGAAGTGTACGAAGGAGAAGGGAGGAGACGAAGGGGGGAGGGAGGGGGGGCAAGGGACGGGCCGCAGCCTTTAGCACATAACATGCCTGCAATTGTTTCTCCAGGCTTGATTTGCAGATAGTAGCAAGCATACGGGCCCTTCCTTCCGGTTCGTGACCTGATTTTTTACGACCGCATGTAAGCAGTGCTCAACGGACGATCTCTCGATCGGAAGCAACATACCAGGCTGCCGAGAAATATGTCTGGTCAGTCCGTCAGCCATTATACATCACTTAATACCTACACCGATCAGATCGGGAAGCCGCTCATGGCTCTGTTGCATAGGGGTTGGCTACAGATAGCCTCCAGCGGTGGGAACGGGCCCGGGATGCGCAGGGCAGGTAAGGCAAGCAACGATAGATTAATAGATTACCTTATACGGGGTCTGATCATTGCTGAACCTAGTGAGAAGATTTGAAAATTCAGCAACCGCTGCGGATCTTGATGCATGTGTTGTTGGTAGCCGTATTTACCTGATGTCTCTGTGGATCCGGAACACCTGCGCAAAGGGACCGCATGTCAGCCAGGGCACGGGCAGAGGGAGGCAGCAGCCCAGTGGCGATGTGCAGCAGGAAGAAGTCTATCCGGCAAAGGAATCCGGGGCGGGTAACAGGAGCCATTCATAGCCAGCCTTGCGGCCGCACAGCATCGGTGAAATGTGTATCCGCAACAGGGCGTAAGACACCCAAGCAGATAACGGACAGGGTACACCGGATCACCAAATATGCGGAGGGGATAGTGTTCCGCGTACGCCATGCATCACGTTGGTCGAGGTGCAGAATGTGACCGCAAAGGCAAGTCTTCAGCCAACAGAAGGAAGGTAATCCACGTACTAGATCCTTGACGGGAAGCTCCGGGATTGTGTCGTCAACACGCTCTGGCATAGCTGCTGTCATACTGTCGACGAACTTGTCGAAGTCTGCCTTTCCCGCTCGATATACGGCATCATGTCCTGGACACGCGGGTTAGCTTCAGGAGCACAGTTCCGGATGCGCACCCGGCCCCAGCATGCTGAGTCCTGATGCGATGGCAGCGCGAAAGCGCACGCAGAGCCCATAACATCGCCACTCTGCCGCCGGGGCTTCGGACAGCTGACGCGACGGCAGCAGCGCATGGAGGGCGTGGTTCCAGCGAGAGAGGAAGCCAGCGCACGGCATCTGATTACGGGCACGGTTGACTGGAATGCAAAACTCCACGTACCATGCAGCCAGCTACGATTATTATTTTCCGTAAGATCTATTGCATAAGTGTACATAAACTGGTTAGCCGACCCTCGCTTCGGAGACTGGAACTCAGTCACCTGACAGAAAGCGCAACGTGTTTGGGTGGATTTGATCGTCCGCGTATTCGATGTCCCCCGGACTGGGCGCTCGCTGGTGCGGAATGAACACCTCGCCAGTGCTGGCCTTTTTCTTCTTGACGACTCTTGGCTGGGATATCGCTGCGGTCGAGAGCGTCCGTTTTCTGGCCGGCTTTGCAGCTTTCTCTTCTTCCTCATCCTCGTCCGCTTCTTCTTCTCTCCCCTCCGACGCCTCCACTTCATCTTCATGTACAGCATCATCTGGCTCTGATTCCGCTTCGAAATCAGATGCTGTGTCGCTCTCCTCTTTGTGGCCTTCGTCCTCATCCTCGGATGGATGCTCGAAATAGGGACTCTTCTTAACCGGGGCCTTCGTTCGTGCAGACTGGCGGCGCGGCGTGGCCGTGGGAGCAGACCCGGTCATCTTCCTAGGTGGCATGATCGCTGTAACCCCTTTCTTTCGTTCGTCCGTACGTGTATAGTATAGTATAGCTGGCGATATAGCAGATGTGTAGCAACAGTAAGTTGATTACCTCGCCTCGCGTGTGTGGATGGTGTTCTTCGGTCAGGTTGACGTGACCACGCGTGCCAGATGTGGTGACGGCAGCCAAGCCACTAATCAGCTGTCCCCACGTTCAACGATCCCCCACTCTTTTTTCTGCGCGCGGGCAGACTCCACCCCCGACCGATAGAACGGAATCCGAACTGAACCCCTCTCAGCCATAGATTCTTCAGCTGATTGCAGCTTGCTTCCGCCCCCACAACGGACACGACGCAAATTCCGATCGTGGCCGCAATGTCAGATCGGCACTTCGACGGGCGGAAGGCGCGGCTCCTCGCCGATATCGAGTCGCCAACCCCGGACTTATCGCCAAAGGGCAGCATCGACGTTCAGATCGTGCCGCTGGTCTCACGGCTTAACTTGCATGCAGACGTTGTCACCACCAGCTCATGTAGCGGGCGCGTCAGCGTCTTCCTCGAGGGTGGTGACTCCGCATCCCGAGTTAGCGGAAAGGGCGAGGGCGGAAGATGGCTGTACGTCTCTCACGACCCGGTAGATATCGCCGGTCGAACCGATTCGGAGTTGGCGGATATGATGGTGGGCCCCGCGGGTGCTCGGAACGGCTCGCTCGTGCCGACTGCGGGAACCCGGTTTGTGCACTTTAAGTTCGAGACCATGGTGAGCTTCCGAAACCCCCCCACCTAGTCGTTATCCTGGTTTCTCATATTTGAGTTTGGACTGCTGATATCTGAACTCTGCGTCGATACCTAGATCCTGCACATCTTGACCCGCGACCGCGATACCGCCCAAGCCATCTTATCGACTGCGCTTGCCACTGGCTTCCGGGAAAGCGGCATCATGAACTCCTCGGGGTCTCCCATGGTTGCCATTCGCAGCAACGGCCTTGCCTTGGACTGCATAGTCGCGGTGCTGGATGCGGACGGTAAAGTGCAGAAGCTCGTCAGCGACGAGTACATCGCTATGTTGGTGCGGATTGGTAACTTGAGATTTGAGGAGAACGATCACCGCATTTCGAAGTTGACAAGGAATCTGGAGGATGCATTGTTTAAATCAAAAGATGAGGGCGAAGGCACAGGTAAAGAGAAGACGTGGGAGGACAAGGAGGTGAGGAAGGCACGGAAGAAGGAAGAGGGATTGAAGAGGCAGGAAGAAGCTCGAGTGGAGCATGCGGTACTGGACGAGAGCGATTTGCGTGGCAAGGTAGATGGGGACGAAGATGAACCGGTACTGAGCCGGTGGATGGAGGCGGGGGTAGAATAGAGAGGCGCGGTCCGTGCACGCATATTCTGTGATCCAGACCGCTCGTCGTTCGTTGCCATAATACGGTCGGCTGTTCACGGGGGCTTGCCGGGAGATGTATATCTGCTGCCCCTCCATTCCTCCCGCGAGATCATGCAGAATGTTGTCATACTGTTTAGCGCGTTCGTATCGCACATACATGATAAAGCACTCGGCCGCTTTGTCCCGATGAGATAGAATAAAGCTTCTGCGGGTATTAGTAGCGAGAGAAATCGAATGAGGTGATTTTCCACCCTTTTTCGCACGTTTTGGTGCACCTGTACCACACTTCTCTACTTGTTCTCGCCGGGCCTAGAAGTGATGATGCTGGCACCTAGTATTACCTAGAGTCAGACGAGAAAAACGAGCGGGGTAAGTCGATACGCAACACCTATCCAGACAATGCTACCTGCGATATTTTGAATAACAGGTTTGCGCTCTATCCGCCTGAATAAGAATGTTCGCAAATCTGGCTTCCCTAAGGCAGGAAAATAGGTGTATCCGAGGCAGAAGTGCTTCGGCGTGGCTCATTCATTTAACCACAGAAGTGCCAGAGGAGGTGCCGGCCGGTATCGGCGATTTTGCTTTCCGGTTCACCACACATCTAGGTATGACAATGGTCACCGAGTGACATCGCATATATCAATAGCCAATTTCTACCCTCATACACGGTGAAAAACTACAGTGCTAAGAGCCTGATCTTGCACTTTTATCCATCACTCGCTTAGCTTGGTGATTTGTCCGATTATGGATTGTGACTGAAATTCGGTCATAACCCATATGCCTAGGGAGGATCCACAAGACCCAAACCAGCTCAGCTTTCTAATATCTAGTACATAAGCCCTAACGATGATCTAGCCTCATGACTACGCTATTTTCCTGCATCCGCTCGGTTGTTACTCGTCGCCATGACCAAAACCAAGGGATCGCCGGGCTGTCTTAAGACTAGGTAGATCTTCAGTTGTAACGTCTCCACAAAAAATACCGAAGTGATGGAGGTTTATTGCCCAGTGGATTACATACCACTTCTGACTACACATATTATTATCGGAGAGATCATTATGGGTAAGCTTACTGATAGCAAGCTTCATAAAGGCTCGAGCTTCCGGCTTAAGCCCACTCAAACCGCGACCAATACCGAGGACGCAGTCTCCAGAAGATAAGTAATCTTCCTTAAGACGGGGTCCCAGGCCTGCGAATAGTCCGTCCGGACCGAAGACTGTTAGGGCCCGGCGACACAGACCCGTCTGGGGCGAAGATTTGCCGGACTAGAGCAGTCCAGTCCTAAGTTCAAGATGCTCGGAGCCCGGCTGGTGCCCCATAGAGACCGGAACTTTTAGTGCCGGAGAAGCTGCCAGGCTGACTGCATACTGAGTGACAGACATGCACATAGGATGAATTCAAACTCGAGGGAAATGCATATGGCCGTGCTGTAGGTCGTAGCATTATGTAGTTTAATCGAGTCCTCGCTGTCTACTAGCATCATTGTAATTACCTATCATTCCGACCCTACCTATCTGGTACGTAGATTGAAGTGAGACAGCACCGTACCAGCAGTGGCAGGCTACGCCCGGCACTACTACCACCGCTAGTGGTAAAATTTCCGGGCCCCAATGGGGCTTCAGTCCTCCTCTAGCTTGCCCGGAGCCCTACAGTCCTTGATTTTCCGGCCCGAAAATTTCGGCCCCGTCCGGGGCATAGCCCAGAACGGACTGGACGCCCTATGCAGGCCTGCCGGGGTCCCGAGATCAGTGTTTCACTTTCTATAAGCACACGCTTGTATGATACACACTTGCATCACGAGATATAACCGACGGCTCGTCCGGCTCCGACCTACAGAACCAAATAAAACTCAAATTTTACGCCGCCATAATTTAGATCGCTTGAATGCGAGTAGGATTAAACAGAAGAAAAACTCAAACTCTACAATCCCACCAGAGACAATCATATCACGGAGAAATCCAGGTTTGCAATGGGTAGTAACTTGTTCATTGCCCACCAAATACCAAACCAAGAAGAACCCTGAAAGACCTTCTAGCAGTTATCAGTCAGCTTAAATAAACAAAACACAAACACCCATGAGATCGTATTATTAGTGCATACTTTAAAACATATGGTAGTGCTAAAGTATCTTTAAGAAAATGCTAGTGATATCGTATCTACGGTCAAAATACGTGTTTTTTATGCCCTGATACAATATCAATATGCGTCCTGCGGGAAACAACGTATTTTTACTCCCCCTTGACTTTACAGTAGATCATAGCAATACACATTCCGTTTCCTTGACCACTGTCCAACCCGACTTTCGCCAGGCGTCCCGACGTCGTGGCTTCTACTCCCTCCGCCCTGCCCTTCATCGAAGATAGGTACATGTGGAGCGCACCAAGGAAACAAAGAAAGCTGGAGAAATGAAAGCCCGCTCCTCACTCCGCCCCGGCCCCTGCCTCTTAATCAGGAGATGCTATGAAGGTGGGTGTGGGGGGAGGAATAGCGGGACCCTGAAGCGCCGCCCGGTAATCACGGAGCAGCGGGTAGTTGCGAGTTGCGACAGCTTGGACTCCGCATACAGGCTCCAGTATGTACGCATGCAGTAACCAAAAGCTCCATTTCTACAGGAACGCATGCGCCATTGACCGCCTCAAGTTCCGAATGCACTGTGGACGTTGATAGGCCACCGCCGACATAACGGTTACCACTACGCAGCCACGAATATCCATTCATACTACGCACTCCGGCTTCGGTGGAGGCAATATGGGACGGCCCTGATCTCTATCATTTGTAGTTGCCTACAGATCTCATGCTATCAAGCGAACCAGGGAGTAATACCTAAAAAGCATGATAAATCACTCACCCTACCAAGTCAATACCGTACTTAGTATCTACCGAATGAAATCAAATCCCTGGGTACCATCCCGGCTGCCACCACATTACCTTCTTTTTCTTCTTCGCAACCTTGACACCGTTCCCATTCTTCTTCGCTTCATCCTCCTCCTGCTGCTTCTTCCGCCGATACTTTTCCGCCGCGTCCCTCCTCCGCTGTACATCCCTTTTGGCCCAATTTCGGGCCATCTCGTCGGTCCGCGTCATCGTCAGCCTTCTCCAGTCCTGCACGTTGCAGAAAGTCCCCGGGCCGTGGGAGGACATTGCCAGCTGTGTTATGCGTGTTAGTGTGTATATAGGCGTGGGGAGGAGGGAGGGAGGAGCGCGGGTACCTTACAGGACAAGTGGTTCAAGAAGGTGGTGCAGCACGGACACATCCAGTTGCGGAGCTTGCGGTGGTTGAAAATTGTCGGTGACAGAGGGGCGTGGTTGGCGTATTCAGAGTCTGGGTCGTCGGCTGAGTCTTTCGGAGGATGATACGCTTCTACCTTTACTTCTTCGGCTTTTACTTCCTCCTTCTCCGAAAGACGCAGCCGAAGACGGCGAGGAGGAGGAGGAGGAGGAGGAGGAGACGCTTCTGCCTTTACCTCTTCCTCCTCCTCCTCCTCCTCCTCCTCCTCCTCCTCCTCCTCCTCTTCCTCCTCATCCTCATTCTCCTCCTCTTCCTCCTCCTCTTCCTCTTCCTCTTCCTCTTCCTCCTCCTCTTCCTCTTCCTCTTCCTCTTCCTCTTCCTCTTCCTCTTCCTCTTCCTCTTCCTCTTCCTCTTCCTCTTCCTCTTCCTCTTCCTCGTCTTCGTCTTTGAACTCGTAGCCGATGCTATACATTGCTTCCTGCTCGTAGTCATCGCCATCATCATCTTCTTCTTCTTCCTCTGTTTTTACTTGCGGGGCTACTCCTTCTCCTTCAACTGCACATGCACACCATCCTTCCATGCCGGCCATTTCTTCCGGCGAGGGTGCGCTTGACCCATGGCGCCTCAACTTCATCGATTCCGACCAGGAACGCAGACGACGGGGCGATGCCTCAGTAGACTCAGTAGACGATGAAGAGTAACCCATGGTGAAATCCACTGCTGTGTAGCTGCAAGACTCAACACTGACTGCGCGTATATATATATACTTTGGGAGGCACAGTTCATCATGACCGTGAATGAGGTGGATAGGATCCTTTGATAGCGGTAGGCGAAGCAGACAGAACCCGCAAGGAGCAGAAGTTGTGATTGTACCTACGTGCGTCGAATGGAACTACGACGAGAGCGCAGTAGCCATTATTCCTCGGCCACCGCTAATCCACGAGTCTGAAGATTTCCATTGTCGCTCGTCCGCCCGCACGCTCTGCATCTTCCACCCCACGTATGCCGATCATAAGCGGCTGCTCCAGGTAGACAGCATCAAAGGTGGGATGGCCGAGTGGTCTAAGGCGCTGGTTTTAGGAAATAATCACCAGTCAGAAATGGCGCGGGTTCGAATCCCGCTCCCATCAATACATCCTTTTGTAGTTTGTCTTGCGGCCGCGGACTGCTGCCTTTTTTGTTCTCGCTGGGATGCTGACTAGCTCGTGAAGATTTGGGGTTAATGGGACGATCTAGGCGTGCCGACTGCAACTCATTCGGCACGATCCTCATCACGGCGCATTCTCGCCGATGGATGGAGCGGGCGAAGGTGTCCGCGTGACCTCCCCCCCGACGCTATGCACCGGTTTAGATATATGCAGTCGGTACCACCTACTCGGACTCGGCTGTGGCCGATGATGTAGTCGGTGTGTACCTCCCACACCGAGGCGTTGCAACAAAGAATACATGGAAAATTTCGAATCCCGCACTATAACCACACAAAGCCAGGCACATATAGGCTCGGAAAGAATGATGACTTGCGCAAGTCTTTTTTTGTGATAAACAGACTAAATAACAAAGGAACGTACATAGAATAAGAAAGAAAAACCACCACCACCACTACCACTTCTCGAGTGAGATCACGTGACGTCACGGGCCACGGACCATGGTACCCGCTTACACGCAGGTGCTCCTCCTGGTCACGGTGCTGTCGTACTTGCAGTACGTGCCGTCGTTACCTGCGCCGGTCTTGACCGGCTCATCGCCGTTGCTGTTGCCCGTGAAGCGCTGGCAGATGTCGGTGACGCCGGCGGTGCAGGTGTTCGAGATCGTTGCGGTGTCTATCACGTTCATCCATCCATATCAGCACCATCATCCATCATCCATCAGTTTCCAGAGAGAAACCACGCACCTCCGTAGTTAGTATTAATACCCGCGAGGACACTTCCGGTTTGTGCGACGACGCCAGTAGCGATGAAAGTCCTCTTGACCTGCGAGCTGCAGTTTCCGCAGGACCTGTAGAGCTTCCCGAAGTTGCTCACGAAGAAGTCGGTAACGCTGACCGTGCCGCCGCCGTTGTGCTGGATCACCTTGTCGGCTGCGTTCCGTGCGCCGCCGCCAATGATGTACGACGTCCCAGACGACTGCTTGATCGTTAACGCGTCCTCGCATACGTCCTCCCACCAGACGTTCTTGATCGTGCAGCTAGAGACCGCGGAGGGAGGTTAGCGGGGTGAAAAGGGGGAGGGGGAGCGGGGGGGAAGGAAAGAGGGGGACTCACGGCCCGAGACAGTGCACGCCCTCGGTCTGCGCCGCGCCAATGATCACATTCTGTAGCGTGCCGCCGGACTGCACGTGGAAGACAGCGTCGGCCGTGCCGCCCTCGCCCGCGTTGCAGCCGTCTACACCCAAGGAGTTAGTATATAGATAAAGGGTGTGCCACCGGGAGAGAGAAGGGGTGGTGTGGTTACTGTTGCGCTCGAAACGCTTCATCCCGCCGTCGTAAGTGCCGGAGACCACGATGGGCGCTGAGAGCACGGTGCTGCCCGCTGCCGCTGGGAAGACCGTAGTGGCCGCGCCGGAAACTGAGGCGCTGAAGATGGCGAGCGAAAGCAGGAGGAGGGTGGTGAGCTGCGTCATGGTTGTGCGATGGATATTCGAGTGAGTGAGTGAGCGGGGAGAAGTGAATGAGTGCTTTGCTTGGTGGCTGATCGAAAGCTGTGGATGTTCGAGGGGTGGATATGGAATTTATACAAAGCCTCTGCACGATAGCCAATGGCTATAAGTTATATCCATCCTCCAGCCAGCCTGAGGAATTATTCCACTCAATCGACCAAACCCCAATATCGCCCTCACTTCGCACCGCTTTCCACCGAGCGCCCCCCAGGTACTCCCGCCGATTCCGAGGAGTATTGAGTGCGTGTTTCATCGCGGCTGGATCTAGATCTTGGCCTACACTACCCACCCTACCCTACATGTTGCTGGGGGGGGGAGGGGGGAGGGGGGAGGGGCTTGGCCGTGGGGATTTAGGCGATCAAAGTAGCGAAACGTTAATGTTAATCTAACAGCTGCGCGCGCAGTATATACATTCTCCGTACCTTGTATGTAAGAGTGAATATGGGGTACATATATGTACAGGTAGTATAGGTATGCACCCAGCCCCCCAAGCCCCCGGGTCCGAAATTTCGAAGGACCGAGTGGCATATATGTCCGACCACATTTTCTGCATGCACAGGAGATTCGGGATCCTAAGGGAGCGAACGAACGAACGGCCCGGGATCCGAGTGTTGACGGATGGCATGGGGGATAGTGGCAAAAAATGCAGTTGCATTGGAGAGTGCATGCGAGGCGAGTGTTGGCGGGTGATGCCACATGGTCCGAACTGTCGACGGCCGGCGGGTACGAGAAACCCCGAGATCGAACAAGTTTGAGCGGGGACGGATCTGGGAGTTAAAATTTCCGGCGAGCAGTACTTACAATATATTTATGGAGTGTGCATACCTAGGAGAAGGCTGTTTCCGTTGTCAAGTGTGTACATACCTCAGCCCACATAAGAACCGTAACACTCCGGCACTCGGCCTTGCGCGAACCGAATCATGCGTCGGGGATGCCGATGAAGACAGTATAGCCTACTAGTATATGTATAGGTAGGTCGGATTCTCACCAAGATGACAGCCTGAGTGCTCCTACATACACTCCGTACTTCTAGATCTGGTCCACCTGTCAACGTTTAAATTAACACCGGTGTCCATCGGTGTCCGTGGGCAACCCGTGATCGCGGCTGGACACTCTAGGGTGCATCCCGCGTAGAGTGTGTAAAGTGTGTAAAGTGTGTAAAGTGTGTAAAGTGTGTAAAGTGTGTAAAGTGTGTAAAGTGCTCGCTCATGCAGCAATAAGTAACGATGCGAACAGCTGTGCGCCACAGACATGTCAGCCACATACGGTTCGTACCAACTCGGCCGGTAACAACCACCACCACCACCACCACCATCGGCCACTCCAAACAGTATAGATGTGTCTCCTGTTGATTCCGTCTGATTTATCTGTGGTGAGGCCAGGTCTCCGTTCAGTGTTGTTGCGACGACGATTGTTGGCCTGTGATTTGTTGTGGTTCTGTAGCCCCTGATTTAGCGTTGTCCGGATCAATACACGCACATGCAATCCCACCCCCCCCCCGGCCGATCGCGTGACAGTCCATGAACCTCGGTCCACTCCGTCGACTAGGTAACTGAAGTTCCCCCAACTCCAGCTTCACCTTCAACCACGCCACCACACAGATATATTCTACAGCAACCATGTTCCGCCCGCCACTACTCGCCGCCCTCCGCGGCGCCCCACGACGGCACTCCAGCACCCTCGCCGCGCGCCCCGCCGCGCCCCTGCGGCCCCTCCGCGTGCTCCTCGCCGCGACCTCCATAGGGCTGCTAACGTTCACCTTCGGCGCGGCCACGCTGAAGAGCATACTCCCTGGCACCGGCCCAATCGACGGCTCACCCCTGCACTCGCACGACTCGCCCTTTAACCTCCCCTCGCTCACCACGGGCGCATCCGTTCTCGCGCGCAACGCTACCTACCAGCGGCTGCTAGCATCCGACGAGTGGACCTTGATCCCGGACGTCGCCGAGTCACTCCCCCTCCACGTGCGCGCGACCAAGCTGATGTCCGGCGCGCTGCGCGGCCACCGCAAGATCACCGCCAATGTGAGGTTTGTGCATAAAGACGGACTGCGCGCAGTGTCCCTGCTGCGACTGGGGAATGCACTCTGTGGACACCCGAATGTGGTGCATGGAGGTGTGCTGGCGACGGTTGCCGATGAGGCGCTGGGGAGGTTGGCGATTGCGCAGTTTCCGGACGGGGGAGGGGTGACGGCGAGGTTGGTCGTTAATTACAGAGCTCCCGCGAGGGCCGTCGATGATGTGTTTGTGTGGGATGGCGTTAAAGTGCTGGAGGCGGAGGTGGTCGAGGTCGGCGAGAGGAAGGTTACCGTTAGGGGCATACTGAAGGATGAGGAGGGGAAGACGCTGCTTAATACTGAGGCGCTGTTTGTCGTGCCGAAGGGTTGGAGGCCGAGACCGTTGGTGGAGCATTAGATCATAGAGGAAGGGAGGGATAGACGAGTGATACCTGTGTAGACGGATAGAATAGAGTTGCTTGTTTTTGTTCCTGGCATGGTCCGGCACAGCATACGAGTGGACAAATCTGAGGCCATCGAGAAAGCGATCACGATAAAATATTGTTTCTTTGTTTGATCATCATTCAGTATCTAGAATATGGCGGCGTACTTTTTATCCCTTTCCCCAGGTGCAGTCCAAATGCCTGGCCCGATACAGTTGGGCCACCGGGCTCGGTGCAGCGTCCTGATTACTCAACCCTCCGCATGTGCGCCACGATCATTCGACGTATGTACATAGGTGGTACCTATCAGCACAACCTTCGGCCATTCCGAGTACCATCGCCGTGAAGCCTGTATGTACCTATCCGTTTGACATGCATCCCCGAGTGCCTCCCCATGAACACACACTCATACCATTCCATCCATTCTCCTGCCGATCCACCACGCCACGTGCACCTCGTCTCCAGAGTCCCGAGTCCCGAGTCCAGAGTCCTCGTCCCAACCAGCTGCGTCAAAGGGCAGCACGCACCAGCACGGAACATACCCCCGTCCCCCGTCCCCGTCCGCGTCCTGCTTTTATTTCCCGGCGGCGGCCGTCCCCACGCCTGGCGCCAAACACTTTCTGACGCACGCACGCACGTCGAGGGAGGGGATCGCCGCGCGCTCCACAGATCCCACATCCCACATCGCCGTGATCGGCACGAGCAAAAAACCGGCTGGGGGAGGGAGAGAGGGATCACAAGACTGCGTGGGGTGGGTTGGGTGGGTTCACTGGGTGGGAGATGACGCCTCATCCACACGCCACACTTCGGATCGGCATGTGCGAGTACTGCGAGGTGCTAGTGGGTAGGCATCATCCCTGCCTACTTGCTTGCGCGAGACAGGTTGCGCGATGACGTTGGTTATGACGGCCGAGTGCGGGACGGGGAAGGAGATGGGAAAGGGGGAGCGGAGGAAGAGCAGTGCTTCGAGGATATCATCAATGGAGACAGATGGGGCTTCGCTCCGCGGACTCTACATACGGAGGTGAACGGTAACTGACAACTGACAACTGTGGCTAAGGCCGCCGTGGGCCTTCAGCTGCGAGGCACCGCGCGCACCTCTGCTCTAACCAACCACCACACCTGTCGCGCGGTGTCGAGGCTCTGCGGGCGATTCTTCCCTCACCACCACCACCCCACTCCCGCTCCCGAACAATTCCAAGGGCTGTACTGCACTCTACCCACTCCCGCACTCCCGCCCGAAAACACTCGAACACTCAACCAGATGAGTAGGTAGACAGGTATGCGCGCCTGTCCCGTTGCGATGATGGCTGCGGTGCTCGACGTTGCCAATCACTCTCGCGGGCGGGCTGAACATCCGCGATCCGAAATATCGAGAGCTCGATCGCGGTTGGTCCGGGAGGATGGGGGGAGGGACGGAGTGGACGTCCTCATGATGCTGGCCGAATCGGTTCATGATCGCGCGTGGGCGGGGTTGCGGGGTTGCACAAACGTGGAACGGGGCGGTTACCGGACTGCGAGATTCTGCGAGAGTGTTGCGCCTGTGCCTGCGGTGACCAAACTAACCGGGAGATTGGTTTATTAGGCACTTTGTTTTTCTGGCGAAGGCTCGTCTTGTCTTGTCGCCATTGCCTTGGTTTGTGCACCACCGTACCGGTATCTAGAAGAGTACTCTACCTACGGAAACACTCCCAGACTGCATCTATCCCACCACCCTCATATTCATTTCATACGCACACTCACACGCACACGCGCTCCCCACGACTGTCGCTCCGAGTCTACTTCTCGCCGGTCCTAGTCTACAAAGAGAAACAAAACAAAACAAAACAAAACAAAACAAAAGAAAAGAAAGCAAAAAGGTCTTTGTTCTTGTTGTCCCGTGCGTGCGTGCGGCCGTCATCGTCCAATATCGCCTTATACAGGTGAGTGAATGATTGATTGACTGACGACGACGACGACAGAGCTCACACGACCAGTCTGGAGACATTCCAGAAAAATAATAATCTCGCATCGTCGGACGAGCTGGGAGCTGGTTATATTAGAGCGGGTAGACGTCGACGTGCATACATTGCTGCTCCATCCATTACTGGAACATAGAGCACATACTACCTCATCCCCATCTTTGGCACCCGGCACTTTGGACGGACGAGTGCCTACGACAGACCCCTTCCCCCACCCTCCAGATCGTTTCGCTTTGCTTTTGCGATTTGTTGCAGTCGAATCGCGAGAGAAGAGAGAGGACAAGAAATCGGATCACCCAAACCCCCAGCAACAGAGAGAGAGAGCGCCGTCATCGATACCGACACCCACCCTCCATAGATACCCAGAGGCGGCCTCGCGAGCGAGCATGTCCTCACCCACCAGCCCCACCACGCCGCTAATGCCGCTCCGCTCCTTCCTCAAGTCCAGCAATAGCAACAGCGCCGGCGCCGCCACCGAGTCCAGCACCTCGGACCCGCCGCCCTCCCGCCGCCGCTCGCTCGTCAATGTCCTCCGCAAAACCGTCGAAAAGATCTCAGGCACTGTTGCGGGCTCTGCAAGCCCGCGCGGCGTCGTCGCCGCCGCCGCTGCTGCTCCGGAGCCTAGAACTCCTGTAAGTGGACTAAAAAACGTCACCTCTCCAAACAAGCAAGCAAGAGCGGGAACTAACTAATGCGCGGGGGGCGCACCAATAGGCCCTCGAGCAACTACCAGCGCTCAAGAAGGAGCTCGTGATCCGCAGGCGCAATGAGGTCATATCGCCGCCTCCGCCGTTGCCTCCTGCGGCCCCTCCATCCCCCGCACTGACACTGTCCCCGGCGCCGTCGCTACGCACCGTCGCGAAGAAGATGTCGGAACCATTGGACAACGACGAGCTTGCTGTGTTTTTTTCTGGGGCGCCACAGTTCTCGCTGGTGCATCTCGACGACGAGGAGGACGACGACGACGAGTTCGCGCTGCAGCCGAAAGTGACGTTTCCGTTTGGCGGGGGGAGTGATGAGGAGGCGGATCTGCGCCCGCCTGGTCATGCCGCGTTCGCGCTGTGTATGGCCGCTGAGGAGGAGGCGATGGTCGTTAGGGAGGTGCCCCCCATGGCCTCGTTTGTGGGATGGGAACCCGGTACCGTCGGCTGGGAGTATTTCCTCATGTTGCCGGCTGGGGATGCGGATCGCGATCAAGAGCAGGACGAGTTCGAGGGGAATCTTGATGAAGGCGGGAGGGAACGGGGTGGAGGGGTAAGGGAGAGGGAGAGGGGGAGTGTCAGGAGTGTTGAGGTGGGGTATATCGTCGAGAGGCTGAAAGAGCTGGGGGCTATCTGGCAGGCAAAGAAGAGGAAACGTAGGGCGCAGCAGATGGGACGTGCCGTCTTCGAAGAAGAGTCGGAGGATGACGATGAGAAGGGAGGGATCCCTACGTCCGTCGAGATGTACACGCATCTGTTTACACACCTGCTGTATCCGCCGACAAGGATCGCGACGGAGGACTATGCTGATCCGTACAGCCTGAAGGTGCAGATCATGGCGCTCATCCACGCCCTGGGGAAGAAGGTATGGCTGGACTTCAGCATTGTGCGGTGGCGGATCAAGTTGGGACAAATATTGTGGGGCGATATCGCCACGACAGCAGCTATGGAAGACGACCAAGACGGCGAGGAATACGAGGAGTGGGAGGCGACTACGAAAGAGAGCGAGAGGGTTTGGCTGCTGCTGCAGATCTTGCTTGCGTGCGAACTTCTGGTGCGGATGGACACGGTGCTCTCGGACGAAGAAGATCGGAATCGGCGCCGTGCTTCGGTGCGATCGAACCAGCCGCCCCCAGAATCGAAAGAGCAGATGCTTCAGCGCTTCCGTCACGAAGGAGGACGTAAGGTTCAGTGGGACATCGTTCTCGCTCGCCGCTGGCTCGACAATATCCGCATCGAAATGGACGCGCTGAGCCCCAAAGCTTCGCCCGTCGAAAAGGAAACGGAGAAATTGTCTTTCTTGGCTCCTCCGAGTCGCTGGTTCGGTATCGCCCAAACGCCGCCTTCGCCCGAGCACTCCGACCCCTCGACTCCTGATCTGAGCGAGGTGGCCGACGCGCTGCTGCTTCCTCGACAACCCCGCCGACAGGTGGAAGGACTTTTGCACTTCGCCAGGAAACTGCATTGGCCCAACCTCGACTCTCTAGCACAACAGGTGATCTCGAGAGCTCCAGCTCCGGGCACCCCCTCCTCCGCTAGTGCACTGGGAACACCTTTGGCGTGCGGAACTCCTCTATCGACAGCGGCAAGTTCGTATTTTCCAAGTCCGATGCCGCGGCCAAAGAGACTACGAGAAATCACCTCCGAGGTCGCACCCACCCTCCACCGCCAAAAGTCAGCCAACCTCACCGTCCCCTCCGTTTCCGGATGCGGTGGGTGGCTATCCCGGAGTTACCTCACCGGCTTGGTTCTTCCCGGCGAAGGCCTGAACCACCTGATCATCTCGACGCTGCTGGAGAACGATCCGGCGGCGGTCGAGGTCCTCGGCTTCAACGCGAATCTTTACGGTGGCTTCCAGTACCTTGGGAAAACGTGGTGGAGCCGCTACTGCATCGTCGGCCGTGTGATGGCCGGTTTCGACGGTGCTGGGGAGGAGAGCGGGTGGGTCGGTCCCGTGAAGGGCAGTGGCGTTTCGATCGAGGGCGGAGACGAGGACGTCGTTGTCGGAAACATCCCGGACGGCTGGATCGACGTTCTCACGCAGCCTTCGCCCGATAGCAAATCCCCGCGTGCCCTCGAGGCGAAATCGGTCGAGCGGGATTGCGACATCCGTGGGCGGGGATGGAAGCGAGGAACCAAGCCGAAGGAAGACGCATTCGTCACCGTCGACATCGGCGCCGCCGCCGCAGACGCGGATTTAGATGTGCAAATCAGGGGGCTCTACTTCAACCCCGTCGAGCAGCCTTCGCCTTCGCCGCAAACCCCGACGGACGAAGACGTCGACGAGCGCGAAGCCGAAGCCGAAGCCGAGGCCGAAGCGGCCGACCTCCAGCCGTACGAAGTAGCCGCACACATCCTCGTCGGCCCCCGTGGCGGCAAAAAGCTGCTCAACGTCCTCGAGCTCAAATACGACGTCAGCTTCGTCTCTGCGTGGCCGTGCTTCCCCTCATCGCACGGGCAGGGACATCTGCTCCATCGCAGCTACGGCTACACTTGCTTACGCATCGAGGACCTGCCCGGCTTCCATCCGGATGACGACGAGGAAAGAACGCTCGTCGTAAACACGTGGTCCCCCGCGCAGCGCGTGCTCCTTTATGCTTGGTGCGCGCATAGGGGACGCTCTGCGGTTGTGGCCACTAGGGGCAGGACCTGTGTTGCCTGCGCGGTTAGGGAGGCCGCCGCGCTGGCGCTGGGCGTGGTGGTCGTCGTTTGATTGTTGCGTTTGCTTGCTTGTCGTATGGGGGGTATTATGGAGTTATTGATTGATTGGTTGATTGACGATGATGGTGATGATGACTGGACGGACGTTGCTTCTTGTACTTATATGAGATTTTATTTGGCTTTGGCTGCGGTTGCGGTTGCGTATATGTTACATTGTTACATTGTTATATTTGTTATATGATATCTTGTGCGTGCGTGCGTGGTTCTTGTTTGGCAGATTGGCGGATTGGCGGATTGGCGGATTGGCGGATTGGCGGATTGGCGGATTGGCGGATCCACTTGACAGAGCGGAGGGAGGGGGGGGGGCGATTGGAGGTTAATTGGGTTAATGGGGTTGATGAATGTATTATTTGCGTGCTGGACTGGACTGGGCAGGACTGGGCAGGACTGGGCTGTATGTACTGTATTATTTGGAATAAAATGTCATGGACCGGAACCGGATGGAGTGGTGATCAAAACAAAATCCTCAACGCGATGTGGGAGGAGCTCTTGGACAGTTGGCAGGTACGATTTCGCACTCTAGCTCTCCCTGACCGGGGAGGAGGAGGAGGAGGAGGAGGAGGAAGAATCCAAGCTGTCGCAACCCCCCGCTGCTCCGTGGTTCTCGGGTGCTTCACATGTCATCACCCGATGAGCGAGTGACATCACATGCCTCGGCCGCAGCGACAAGCCTCAATAGCGACTCTCAGCGGCGATTCAATTCCAAGCACCTCCTCCCCAGCTTCCCTCCTCTCTCTCTCTAGCTGTCCCTTCTTCCTCCCAATTATCAATCGATGATAACCCCCCCGTTCTTCCGCTTCTTTCCTCCCTCCTAGAGTATGTATGTACGTACGGCCAAGATCTCCAATCACTTTCGCACACATCAATCTCATTCCATTCCATTCACTTCGCTAGAACAAGAACAAGAACCAGTATAATAGAGGCCAAAAAAGGGTTGCAGGAATCGAATCGCAACGGTCCAGAAAGAAAAAGAAGAAAAAAAAGCACTACCAACTCCGAACGAACCACAACCACAACACGCAGTACAAGACGAGCAAAACACGGGGGGGAATAGGTACCAACGTATGTAGGTATCGGGACCAAAAATCAAGTCAACATATAACTCCAACAAAGGAAAGGGAAAGGGAAAGGGAAAACGATCATGAAAAAATGAAAAAACGAAAATACAAATTTGTAAAAATACACCGCCCCAATGAAAGAAAGGGAGGAAGAAAGGGAGAAAGAAAGAAAGAAAGAAAATCACACGTTCCCTCCACCGCCGATGCCGCCTCCACCACCACCACCGCCGCCGCCGGGAAGTCCCTTCCTCGCCACACCAGGCACACTCTTCCCTGCTACTCCCACTCGCGGCACTCCGGGCACAGTCTTGTCCGCCACGCTCCCCGCGCCCACAGCACTAGCTTTCAGCACCTTTTTCTTGATCTTCTTTGGACTATCGCCGCTACCGCCGACGCCGGCAGGCACCGTTTTCTTCGGTAATCCAGCGATGCCCGCTGCGCCGCCCATCTTGGGTGGTCGCTGGACCTTCGGTTTCGGCGGGCGCTTTGGCAGGCTGGCGGGCGCTTTTTGTGGCGACATTGATGCGGCAAGGGGCTGTGGTGGGAGTGAGGAGTTGGTATTGAGTGGGCTCTCCGAGTTGGCGGGTGCTTTGTTGTATTTGTTGAATTTGGGTTTTGGAGTGCCTGTGATGTTGGTGGTGGGCGTCGACGGTGGGAGCGGTGAGCCGGCGACACCAACGCCCGTGAGAAGCGTTTTTTGCTTCTTTTGCTTTAGTGGTGTGGTGCCCGGCTCGCCGAGCTCGTCTTTGCGCTTGCGTTTTTTCTGTGTTGGGTCTTTTGCTGGTGTTGGTAGTGTCGTAACGGCTGGTTGGGAAAGGGAGGGAATAGGTGTTCCTTCCTTCACATCGCCGGTAGCGGCAGCAGCAGCGGCGGCGGTGGCAGCAGCAGCAGCCTTCTTTTTCTTCTTGGGTGTGGTAGCTGCGGTTCCCGCTGGTGCAGCAAGCGCTGGCAGGTTCGATTTTGGCATCGGAGGCGGTAGGGGCTGTGCGGCGACATCGACCATCATTCCGGATGGATCTTCAGGGGCAGGAGTGGCGGCCTTTCCGATCGCCAGCTTTTCCGGACTAGGCTTCCGACTTGCCCCCTTAGCGGCATCTGTAGGCTGCAGCATAGGACTGCCGCCGTTGGATCCCGAGCCGCTATTATTCATCTTCGCCATAGCCGCACGCGAGCTCTTCCTTCCGCTGAGTCCCAGACACTTCTCGAGGTGCGCGGCATATCTCAGACTCGCAACCTTCTCAGTGTCGCAGTTGGTGCACTTGAAGTAGACGATACCCGAGTTCTTCGCCGCCTTGCCCGTAATAGCCGGTGTATCCTCCGCCGGGGAATCAGCATTACTCGCCGTCTCCGCTTCCGCCTGAGCCTGAGCCTGAGCCTGAGCCTGAGCCTGAGCCTGAGCCTGAGCCTGAGCCTTTTTCCCCTTCTTCCCTCCGGCAACCGTCGGATTCGGAAACGGATTCCCGTAGATATCATGGCCGCGAGTATTCTGCCAGGGGAGCTTGGCGCAGAACTTTTTCTTCTCGCCGTTTTCGAGCGTGATGGTGCCCTTCTGCAGCGTCTCGGCGGTGTGGCGCGGCAGGTGGCACCGTGTGCAGATCATCTCGGCGGGCACCGTGGCAAGCGGGTTTCCCGGCGGCATGCGAGGGACGGTGGGGTCTTCGGGGAGCGGCAGGCCCGCGGCTGTAGCCGCTAGGTGCGCCGCGTGCTGTTGTTGTTGCGTTCGTAGGAGCTTCTCGGCGCGGTGGGATTGTAGTACTAGGTCGTGGGTTAGGTTTGATAGTAGGTCCGAGAAGATCGCGAGTGACTGCAGTTCGAGTTAGGAGTGTCCGGGGAAGCTGGGACGAAGGGGGAATGGTACCAGGGCGGCCAATGAGCCGGGCGCTGGCTCTTGTGCGGGAGGCGACGACATGGTCGAGTTGTGGCCGTGGTGAGTTGTCGTCGTCGGGGTCGGAACAGGGTGTCGCGTTCCCGTTCAGTAGGCGCAGCCGCCAGCGCGGAGGTGAAAGTCGCCTTTCGGACGCCGTCGTGAAGTGGTAAGGATTGAGCTACAGCGGGCGGCGTCGGGGGGTTAATTTTCCGCGTGTGCGAAAGAGGGGTTGGTGGTGGTTGTGGTGGTGGTGGGTGGCCCGACTTGTTTGGCGGATATTGGGGTTGGTGAGTTGTTCACGAGCGAGTGTCGAGATGAGAAAGAAGATGCGTTCGAGCTTTGGTGTCCCTTTTGGCGAGCTCTCATGACAGGGGTGGGATTAGTGTCGAACGTGACCGTGACCGGGAATCGGGCAGAGCCGCAGGGCCTTTTTCACATGCGATATCACTCGCCGGATAACTGGCCCGGCGAACTGCCCAGAGTGAATTGACGCCCAATCATAGGCAGCAACGCAGCAACGAACCTACAGCGACAGGGCTGGCAGGAAAGAATGGGGCAAAAAGTCGCCAGTCAAGACAGGTCGTACTGCCAGGTATGCGACAATAAATTTCCCTTCTCTCTCACGACGCGCAACGACTTCGACATTTATTTCAAAAACATGTTTAATTTTGTAACCTCCCGTTCCCTCTCGTTCCCTCGTGCTCCCACATCCCACATCCCACATCCCCATCGTCAATTTTCCCGTTCCTATACACTTCATCCATCCATCCATCCATCCATCCATCCATCCAATTACACTCGCTCAAAAGCCGTAAGGAAACGAAACGCAAGGACTCAAAATATTCTACAACTAGCAGTAATAGTAGTAACTACAAGCACAAAGATCGAACAGACAGGAAGCGAGAAAAAAAAAAGGAAAGAAAGCAAGAAGAAGAAAAGAAGAAAAAAAAGTGGTGCACGGAGAGAAGCGAAGTGAGTCAATTCCGAGCCGTCATCGTGATCAATAATTGAAACCCCACTTGTAGAAGAACGAAGGCACGAAGCAATAGAGGGAGAAAAAAAAGATATAGGAAGGAAAGCAATATCCCCGTCCAAAGACGTGACTGTTTTGAAACAAAAACCAACCCCATATAAAAAAAGAAGTAAAAAAGAAGAAAACCCCACCAAAAAAAACGCCGGTTCGCTGAAACAATGGAGAGTGAAAAAAGAAAAAGAAAAAAGGGAGTTCGATGACAGCCATATGCAAAGCAAAAAACCCCACACCCACACCCCGAGCCACCGCTGCCACCACTTTAACATCATCTCTAATCGTTTGTCCAGAAGCTCTTCCTTTCTATTATGCACATACAACAACCTAGTCCATTCTACCTGATCCCACAACCGTCCCTTCGTCCACCGCCTCATCCCGTTCCGTCAAGCCCGTTTTCGTTTGTACATCGCGAGTGTTATCGCGGCACTTCAAGGGCCACCGAGGTTCTTCTCGGCACCGAAGCGCAACTTTCCATCCGGGCCAACATGGCAGCTGAGGTAAAATCGTTTGTCGCTTCGAAACTGGCCCGCGGGCGACCGTCCATCGAAGAACGTAATCGATCGAAACTTGGTCTGGCTCTATCCATGCTCGGTCGGTGTCTCTCGAGTGAGAACCGGCGCGGTGTGAACGTGCCTTCTCCACCGGGGAAGCCTGAACCATCGGAACCATTACTACCGTTTCCGCTGCCTCGCTTGCCCGCAGTGGTTGCGGTGGGCGCGACACTGGGGGGATAGATTGGTCGCAGCTCGTCATCTTGTTCGAACGTATGGGCGGGTGGTTTGACGATTTCGGAACTGACCGAGGAGGCGACCAACGATGGTTCGGTTGGTTTGTTGTACAGGTAGTCGAATTTGCCGTCTCGGACTTGCTCGCGGATAACGTCGATGTCGCGAGGGAAAAATAGCTTCTGCACAATCTTGGAGGCCATGCGTGGCAACAGACAAATGATGACAGTGATAACCGTTGTGGCCCAGAACGTCAAGGCTCCAAGAACCTGTTCGGCTGCCGAATAGAACGATCCGACCGACTTAAACTGCGAGTAAATGCCAGTCCACAAGAAAACGAGAAGAGTACTGATAGAGATGACCAAGACGAAGAGCCAGTCCCATCGGTATTGGTTGATGAGAACATATGAGTTGACCACAACGATGGCAGCGCAGGCAACAAAGACACCCATCTGTTCTCTACCACCCAGGTCTTGGCCGGTGGGACCAGCAAATGAACCCGTGTGGAAGACCAGGTATGCCATAAAGAAGCAAATGACCGATTGGTAGATGCCGTCGACCATGTAGATCCAGAACTTGAGTTGCGTCCATTCGAGGCGAAGAATACCGCGGCGATACAGTTGCGGTACGGCTAGTGAGACCTTGTCATCCACATCCTGATCGAGGATACCCATAAGGATAACTGGGACCGAGGTGAACGCAAGATTGTACAGCAGAATGTAAGTGTACTCGAAGAGGTAGGATCCATCGAAACTGTTGAAGAGCTGATACCAGAAAAGTGCAAACGTCCAAACGATGTTCTGTGTAACACTGTCAGCGGAAGGTCACGGAACGCACTGGGAGGACAGCAATCGTACCTTGTAGAAGAAGTTGGCAGTCATCTCGGCAAGTCGGCGGTAAGACCATCGTCCGTGAACCAGTACAAGTCTGCTGAGGAAGCGGAACTGTCCGATCGCATAATCCGAGCACATGACAGCCTGTCTGCCCTCTTCACCGGCAATACCAACGCCGACATCCGCCTCTTGGATCATAGCAACGTCATTCGCACCATCGCCAATCGACAAGGTCATAACATCCAATCCCTTCTTGACCATCTGACAGACAGCCGCCTTCTGACTGGGACTGACACGACAACACAGCACCGCCTTGCATTGTTTGCAAAGCAAGAGGAATTTCATCTTCAGTTCTTCCTCAAGCACAAGCTTAAGTGCGTCACCGTCGATAACCAGAGCATGAGTTGGCGGGGGTGGGTTGTGGTCTTTCTTGGCAGCCTCCAGCTCTTCCGGCGAACCCGTCATATCGAAATAGTCATGCAGATATTTATCCAGTAGTGCTGCAGCGGTTTCGGGTTTGTCTTCGTCGACTTTGAACATGATCAAATCCATTCCGTTGTCCAACAGGTTGCAGGAGAATCCAATGTTGATGGCAGTTTCGACCTTGTCACCGGTAAGAACCCACAGCTTGATACCAGCTTCGGCCAAAAGGGCAATCGTGTCGGGAACACCGTCTTGCAGACGATCCTCAATAGCAGTTCCACCGAGCAGAGTAAGTTCCCTTTCAATGGAATCCGAGACCTCCTCCAGCTTCTCTTCTCTGTTGTGAATAGCAGAGGCGGCGATGTCGTGTTCCCTGCTCCAAGTTTTGTACTCCTCCTCGGTCAATTCCCTCTGGGCAATGCACAGTGTGCGCAATCCTTCGCGGGCAAAGACTTCGAGATGGTCGGCGGTTTGACGTCGTAGTTCCTGTTGCTGACCTTTCCGTAGTCTGGAGTAGATGATGCTGTCGGCACCCTTACAGAAGATGAAGATTTTCCCAGTTTCAGGCATACGTACGATGGCGCTCATCCTTTTCCGTGCGGAGTTGAATTCCAAAGTGCTGAGAACCTCAAAGTACTTCTCGACACCCTGGACGTTGACGGTGACTCCATGGGTTGACTTGTCTACCAGACTGTAACCGCAGTCTCGGGCTGTAGCCACTAGTGCAGCCTCATCAGGTGATTGAGCTTTGAAATCGACGGTTGGCGGATCCTCGGAGATACGGTCGGGCAATACGGTGTGACACAGAGCCAGGACAAGCATGAAATGCGCGTTTGCCTTGGCCTGATCCTCGCCCGAGCTTCCCCGCAAATCGGCAACATAATCCGAAGAAACAAAGGTGATCTTGTCCTCGTTCAGGTAAGGGTTGTGACTGATCTGCTTCAGATTCTTAATCATCTCCAGTCGGTCCGCCGAGATTTGGGCGCGCATCCTCGCACCCTCCTCCTCCACGTTGATACCCTGGCGTTTCTGCATACCTGCTTGCGCTTCCGTGTATGCTTCTCCGTAGGGAACCCCGTTGACGGTACATTTCTTGAACTCCATGACGTTCTGTGTCAAAGTACCGGTCTTATCGGAAAAGATGTACTCGATTTGGCCAAGGTCGTCGGAAATGTTCCAGGATTTCGGTGTGCACGGATAGTCGAGTTTATCGTAATACATGTTCACATCGCTGTATATGAAGAATGCCTGCGCCAGCTTGATGATCTCAATACTGATGTACAACGAGATGGGTACCAAGTTTTGGAAGAGAATGACCGCAGTCCAGAAGGTAACGATACCGTCAACCGGAGGTGAACCGCCGATGGAGCCGAATTCGAAGTAATTGAGCGATTCGTTTCCCTTCGCCCACGTGACTCCTTGTACGATACCGGACAGAACACACATAATGAGCAGGATTCCGAAATTCAAGATGACCTATGTAACCCTTTAGCGCGGGTCCCAATGCAAGGGGAAACATTCCAGCGCAACTTACGTTCCAATTGAGTTCTCTGGAAATACGACTACGCTTGGAAGGTGTAATTCCCGCGTTCATCATAATCTTAGTTTCGTCACCTGTGAATGCCACGATTCCAATCGCCCAGTCGGTATTCCGGAGTGTGCAACCACGGAGAAGCAGGTTGTTGATGGAAACTGCCTCCGCCATTTCCACCTCGGGTTTTGAGGGATCGAGGGGATCCCTCTGGTTCCATTTGACCACTCCACTGTACGAGTAGAGATTCGCATGTGGGTCCTCGCTCTCGAGCACAAAGGCGGCAGCCTCACAGTCGCGGGCATGACGAACCTTCCTACCGGCACGAAGAGCGTGCCGAACCTTCAAGTTTGTCTCTCCATCGAGGTTCTTAGTCTCCACATAGCAAGCACCGTCGCTGTCGGAAGTGGAGAGAATGATGAAGTCGGCGGGAATCTCCTCATCGTTGTAGATACGAACAAAATCTCCCACGCGGACGTCTTTCCAGTATCCAACCTTAAACCGCGCAGTTTCCGCGGTCTCGCGATGAGGATCCACCAGGTTACCAAAGTCCCGTCCGCCGGGCTTCGTGTGTCGATCGGGGGCCGCATTCGGTGAAGGTACTGCCAGGTGCGTTGGTCTCGGGAGTGCCGAGTCGACCATGCCATTGTCCGATGGAGTAAATGAGAACCTTTGCTTGTCGGGTGTCGGCGAGGACACAGGTGTCATCTGAATGGATTCCGAAGCAACCGTATACACGGAAGCCCTGGTCTGCGTCCTTTGCAGGGTCATCAACTCGGGGTTCGATTTCGCCTTCTTCTTCAGCTTCTGATGCTTGTACTTGCGAACGAGAAATTGTAGTCCCCGCGAAGTCGCCTTCTTGATCTGTCGCCAGTACGAGATGTTCTCGTCCGTAACGTTCGGGTTGTGCCAGTCGACCAGGAGGTGTACAGGGGTATTGTTGAGCTCATTGTCCAGGACCGTTCGCCGGTAGTCTTCGATCGCGTCCTTGATCGCGGTGATCAAAAGAATGACAATCAATGGTAGGGATCCGATCTCGGGGTTCGAAGCACCAAAGATGGGGAAAATCTGCATTTCAACGGTCGTCAGTTCGCGGCCCCGATAATCGACACAGGGGGAGAGAGGGGGTGTAGAGTAAACCGTACCGCCAGGATGGTGACGAAAAGGAAGTAGATATTTGCGATGTTGTGAAACTGAAGCCATAAGTTCTTCGGCACGAATATTAAGGGCGTGTATTTTGCTGTGCGAATCTTGTTCCTTGAGAACTGCTGTAGAGGGGCTCCATCTTCGTCGAGCAGGTCGGCAGGAAGGGGAAGGTTGACGAAGATGCGCCGTTGGGTGAGATCGTCCTCGCTTCCCGCCATAGATGCCTCCTCTTCGCCATCTCTCATCTGACCGCCAAAGTTTCCCCCCGTGTTCTCCAGATCGGCCTCCTGTTGCTTTTCTGGAGCTCGCCGCATTGACAGTGCTCTCATGATCGTGTCTCGTTTCCGTGGTCCCTCGGCGCCGGGGTGTCTTTGGGTGGCCCACCGTAGCCTCTTCGTGGCGGGAGGCTTCCCCGACATGATGAGGGGGGGGGAAGGTTTTTTATTATTTAAACTCCAGTCTATCTATGGCAAATGTTGAGGTAAATTAAGTGGTGCGAAAGTCTCGTCGTCGTCGTGGAACGGAAGGGTGCGGTAGCGTGCGACCCGACGTGGTGGTGACCAAAAACCCGAAGAACGAATGAATGAACGAAGGGATGAACAAGATGGACAGCGGCAGCGGCGCGGTGGAGGTGGTGGATGGAGGGTGTGTGTGGAGGTGGTGGTGGTGGAGGTGGTAGGATGTAGAGGTGGGTTGGTGGTTTGGAACTGGAGGCAGGGCCGGAAAGGACTCGACCCGTGTTCGTTTGTTTTGTGGTTGCTTTCCTTTCGCACTCCACTCCTCTCCTCTCCTGCTTTACTCTCGTCTCCTCTCCTCTGGTGCGTCCGGCGCTGGCTGCAAGGGGGTGTAACAATACCTACAGGTTCTCACAGCTGTGTCGGCAATTGGATGGAGCTGCGGCGGTAGGCGAGAGAAGAAGAGGGCGTCGTGATATTATTGCGTGTTTGTGAGGTATTGGTATGTTGAAGTTTCCTCGATTCCAGGCGAAAGGAAGCGAGCGTGAGTCGAAAGGGACCGTGACGGAGCAAGGTGTAAGTGCTCTTTCTTAGCACGGGGGTGTTGAATGGGGGGGAGGACGATATTGGGTTGGTTTGGGAGGGTGAGGGGGGTAGTTAGGTCGATGCTTTTTTCGAGCGAGAGCAGCAGGAGGGCGCAATGACGATCAAGGACGGGGGCAACTGAGCAGAAAAGGGTGGCAGTGAGGCGATCGGGAAGGGGAGGGGGAGGTGGATTCGACTAGAGGGAGCTGGGGTGGGGGGGTAGGGGAGGCAGTGAGAGGGGGGCTTTGGGTAGGGGGCAATGCTAGAGATGAGGACACAGAAACGAGCGACGAATTAATATCGCGAACTCGAAGGGCATGCACTGTCGCTGAGCACGATGGCGTACGAGTGGAAGAAAGTACGGGCTTGGTATGGGTAAGGTATGGAAGAAGGTATCAAGCCGTGCTTTGTACCCAGGCCCCAAGTCACGAACAAAGTGCTTTCGCTCTAGGCACGGAGGCGGAACGGAAGGCAGAGAAAGAAAAGACGGAAGCCAGAGAGGAAAGACGGAAGGAGAGCGCCCTTCTTTCGATCGTGTCGCGGCTTTCACGGGCGAGGCGATGCAGAAGGAGGCGTCTTCGACGTTCTCCAGATTCGAAATGGGGGCTGCTAGTAGGGGTTGTGGAGACGGGTAGAAGCACTTTACGAGCACCTCCGTGCAGGCTGCAGTTCCTGACGAGACGGACTACTCGGATTCCGGCGCAGTTAACTCGATTTATTCTAACAGTCGGCACGCGGCGGCCTTCGAGAAGAGCAGAATCAGGCTACGGTGGGTAAGCAGGCAGGGCACTCGCGAGTCCAACAGAGATGAGGCCAGCTGAGCGCCACAGCCATGTCAGCCACCCATCAACCCCCATCAGCTACACAAGAGCTTGAAATCTATCTCCCGTTTTGTCCTCTTCGATTCGGTTGTCTCGTCAAGTTTTTCGTTGCGACGAAAACTATTGGCAGCGGTGTAGGTTTGTGACCGGTGATTTAGCGTTAACCACATCTCTCGGGATGATTTAACAGCCCGACTGCGGCACGAGCCACAGAACCACGCCAGTTGTGGCGTACAACAATTCCCACACTCCATCCCACCGGAAGAAAACCCCAACTCAAAGCCAAATCAACAAACAAACGCTATGTAGAGTGGTATATATACCAGCCAAGACGCCTTGACATGAGTTGCCGCAGGCTATATATCGACACGGCCCCGCGCCGGGAACTGGGCAGTGGGATTTGCCGCCATCGATGACACTGGTAAGGAGATCCGTCGCACGACTGCGCAGATATACAGAGCGGCTGGAACTCCGTCGCCCCGTCGACCCATCAGCCCGTGGACCCGCGGAGCTATCAAACCCCCTTCACCTAAGCACAATTGCGTGCTCATTCTTCATCATACACAGCGGTTGTGTATAGGTAGGTAAAGAGTCGCAATCGGTCGGTACATATCGAAGCCGATGGCAAGCTCAGGCAAACAAAACTCCGCCGAATCGCACGCCGGCCAAGATCACAACATCGATGAAGAGGAACCGATGGCGAATCAAGTCCGGTATGCCTGCGACCGATCAGTACGATCGCCGGAGAGAAGTTGCACTCCCTTACCCAACCAACAGAGAAATACACGACGGAGCGACTCACCGCATTGTTCCGGATATGTATGCTATGTCATGCTAATGGGGAAAACGACACTCGGGGTAAGGACGTACTGCTGAGGGCTGAGAAGCTGAGGTTTTTGTGGCGTGTGTCGTGTGTCGTGTGTCGTATTGAAAATGGAACCCAATGCACGGGGTAGGTATTTGACGCCCGCCGGGCACCAGAGGTCCAGCTGGACGGAACAAGTGAACGGACGGGCAGATCCGCACACCAAAACACTGGGTTGTGAGTCGGTCCAGAAACCCACCTTCCCAGTCACGAAGATCCTCCAAGTGCTGTTGTCACCGAGAGTTGCGATCTTACTCCACACCACCACCACCACCACCACCACCACAAGCGATGTTTCTATCAATGGCAAAGCATGGAGGCTCAGCTTCTGAAGACCGCGGAAGGGGTGGGGTCTGGTACATACGGCGCGCATCAGTTACTCTAAACCTGGACCGTCCGCGCAGGCGCCATACAGCTCCTAATGGTCCTAAGTTCTAACGGGTCCCAGCTAGGTATGCACCAGTAATCCTGCGGACAACTCCATAATCACCAGCCACAAATCTATATATCCGCAGGATTATCGCATCGGCTACTAGTACCAGTACAAACAGTAGAGTACAAAGACAGACTGCCACCCGGATTCCGGCACAGTCGAGTCTCTTCGCTTTATTTTACCGTCGGGCGTTGGCGGGGTGGGGGTGGGGGGCAGCCGGCAGCGGCGGACATTGGGAAGAGAAGAAACGAATCCCCAGTTGACGTCCAGCGCGCACCAGCAACAGCACCAGCACCTCCGGTGCATCCGTCGCACGCCGCTCGCAGCTGCAGAAAGAAAAAAAGTCTTACCGACATCATACGGTAGCTTTGCTGAGCAATCGCCACGCGCGCTTATTCATCCCCGTCATCGACCTCTCGATTCGATTCTCGAAAAGCCGACGAGCTTGCGGAGTTGGCCACAAAGTCCGATTCCCCCGTAAGGGTGCCGTCGCTAGAGTAAGGGTGCCGTAGTTAAGGGTGGGTGGGTGGTGTCAGTTTTCACTTCACTTCAGCCATCCGCAATGCGCATCCTGTGTCATCCAATTAGGTAGCAGCAGCAATACCTACTGGGTGCATGAGGCAACACGGATCTAGAGTATGATGTACGTCTATTCCTAAATCTTACCTTGTTTCCATACCGTATAACAGTGCGCACGTGGGCTGCTGGCTCCTATGTATGCATACGTGAGTGAGGCTGTGTTTTTGTGTATAGACTCTACATGGTCGCTGTCGTCTTCTGGGACGTCCTTGAAACCCGAGTGCCATCCATCATGTATGTACCCCAGAGGTATCCGTAGCTGCTCGTACTCTAGGTACGTACATGAGTGGAGTGCCGTAGAGACAAACCTTCAAACGCATGCAGCCCACCCACCACTTCACTCGGGATCGTGAAGAGTTCTTTCTTTTTCCCTCCTCCCGTCGGAGGTTACGCGGAGATCTGTCGGCGGTAACAAAGCACCTACCTACCTAACCCGAGTATGTAGAGTAGGTACCTACAACTGTAGCAAAGTACCATGCAGTCCCCTGAACATGAACCAGAATGCACCACAGTATTGTACATAATACTCATCATGTAGAGTACTTAGGCAAGGTATGCAGGAGGGTGTGGAACCAACACAGAAAGGCAAAACGACAACGGAAATAACAGAAAATAAAGGTATTCGGCCGCCCAGCCGTCGCTGTCTGTTGTCGATACTTTAATGATGTGTATGTGTGGTGCATCGTGCGGCTGATGCGATGCGCATTGCGATGCACTCCGCACCTATTTCTGTCTCAGCCTGCCAGCCAGCGCCCAGCGGCCTGCGGCCCAGCCACGACGACGAGTCGACGACACTGGACAGGCTACATACTCGTACAGCGGGCCCATCTTTGGCCCGGCTCACCGTTCACGAGCTGTTTTCGGCGCGTCAAAAGTCGACAACTCCTCCTACATGTGTATAGTAGAGTACCAGTACACACACATACCGGTACATACGCCGCACTAATTGCCGGGATGGGCGGCAGCTTACAAGTTACCAGTTGACCACTGACGGGCACCCAGAGCCAGAGCCAGAGGTCCATGGTTCTTCGATCTGTAGCGTTCTCCCTTGCCTTTGCCTTTGCCTTGCCATGCGTTGACGGAAGGGAAGGGAAGAGGGGGGCAGCGAACCAGCGAATGGGAGCTAGGTGCTCTAGAGTACCAACACCCCATGTCGAAGCAACCACCCAGCTTAGAGCTACGCTAGACTGCCCCCCCCGCACACATAGGGAGAACTTCGAAGGGCAGCGAGACGAGACCTGCAGCAGCGCAGCTCCGTCCACTCGACTCGACTCATAGTTGACTGTTGACCCGGGCGGTCTCGCTGCCGTCGCCGCAACCGTCGCCGACCGGCCGCTGTCCGCATTCCTTTGCACTCTGCAATGGAGAAGCTCGTATCCCTACCCCCCGTTCGGCCCAGAATCCACCCGTCCCGTTCACCGTATGATAAACTCATGCTTCCGCGACGCAGGAAACCCTCTTTCTTTCTTTGCCACATAATTCTTACCTGGATGGATACTAGTACGGTAGGTAGACCACAACAATCGTCGCAATCCACCTCAAAGTCACGTCCGTGCATTCACAATCCCCCCCCGTCCCCCCCTCGCGATACCTCCGGTCGGTGATTACGTTGTGTGCTGGTGCTGCCTGCCCTAGGCCACGCAGATTTAGCCGACTGACCGACTGCCCGGCCGGCACCGGCGCTGATCGGATCCCGCTCATCCGTATATATCTACTCGAGTAGAGGACCTACCTACGGTGCTTCGTGGTGAGGGTGAGGGAGGAGGGAGGAGCACGTACCCTCTCGAGTGACTCGGGAGGGAGAGGGGGAGAGGGGGAGACGGAAGCTATAGTACTAGTAGAGTGAGAAGTAGGCACATAATAGAGTAGAGCAGAGCAAGAGGCGTGGAGGAGAGCCGCCTGGCCTGGCCTGCCTAATAACTATGGCACGCCCGGGAGTACGTACACTTGATTTCGCTTGATGTTTCTCCCCTGCCGCTGAAAGCCTGAAACAACGCGGACCGGAACGCGAATCCCCCCTCCCCCCTTGGATTGGGGATACCCATATACCGTATGTCGGGGTTTGGGGGTTTGGGAAGGGGGGCTTCGCAGAGATGGGCGAATCATTCCGCCGTGAAGGGTGGGTAGATTAGCGAGTGCACTGCACTGCGGCCGCAACCGCAACTGCAACACCGCCAGATGTATGCATATTTGGTACCTATACCGGTAGGTAGCGGGGTTGAGTGGGATCTCGAGCAGCTGTCTCCGCTCCGTCCGGAACGGACGCTCTTGTGATAAGCTTCTTTTTCCTTCTTCACTTCTTCAATCGCGTATACTTACTTTCTAGCCGGTAGGTCGTGCTAAGTTCGTACATGTATTCTTAGGTCAGGGACAGCAGGAATTGATTAGGTTTGTATGAGGTATGAGGTATGTACGAATCACGATGTCTCCGCTGCGCCCTGCTCGTACCACGGATCGTCACGGTTGGATCGTGAGCTCCCGCTCCCGCAACGTCTCTTGGTCGATTGTGGCTGTGAAGTATCTCGAAACGTCTCTATTGTCCGTTCCATGCGCTGATCTACCTATAGTACACATGTAGGTACTCCCATCGGAACAATCGCTGCCCGAGGCGTCTCATGAACCGTCTCCGGTGATACATATAGTAGGTACCTACATGGCCAGCACATTCGGCTTCGGAATCACCAGAGGTCCAGCTTCGGAAACCGCGCGGCAACTGGATCGATACCACTACCTACACAGCCACTCGTTCATGACTACGGAGACGGAAACGTTGTCGTCAACGTCCTGCCGCCGGCTCGGTCTGGAGTTGCATCGATAGGTACCTGGTGTGCACAGTTGGCAATCCTTATCCTTATCCTTATCCTTAGATACCTCGTTCATCTCTGCTCGGAGCACTGAAGTCTGAAGCGCTACATAAGCGCGGTGGCGTCATTCATTATTAGGAATCATAAGTCGATCGCGAGTGATCGTACATAGACCACTGAGTGGAGACTTCGCTGCTCATGCTTCATGGAAAAGGATGGCTCGGCAAGGCTTCCTTACATCAACTCACACAGAAGCTTAGATTCATCCCGCAGAGATATGTATATACATGGGCGATTACCTACTGCTACCGGCGTGATTTGTGGTGATGGGAGCTCAAGGAACGCTCTAGTACGCACATCATAACTGTTGTTGTCATATGGTGTCGGATATTCCCCGTTCATTGACCCCACTCCTGTTCTACATAGCCAGCAAGTTTCCCTCCGATCGACTCGAGTAAAAGCTTGACTTCATCTCTAGATACAACTTACAAGCCACTACAGCTGCGGGTATGTACAATCCATGCCTTCGGAAGTTCGGAGCCTCGAAAAGAACGAGTTGAGAGCCCACCGCGGTGTTCCGGGTGCTCTGGATCCTGTTACGTAAGGATTTGTAAGTTGTAGGCAAACGGAACTCTTCCCTCGAACTGCCACTGGCTTCATATCCTGCTTCGACTCTTCGAGGTCTACCTCTCCTATGGTTGTGACTCTCACATCTCTCGCTTTCTCTCTCTCCTCGTATGAATCATGATGTTTCCTCTGGTGCTAATGTCAAGTTCCCACCGTCCACGAGGGCTGCATGGGGAGCCAACGCAGAAAAAGGCAAACCTGACATCATTCTGATACCCAGCGGTGTGCATGTCCTCACTCCTCAGCAATCAGCATCTCACGATGCTGATGCGACTGTTATTTCCGTCCCTTCAGCCCGCCATGACAGGGTACATATACGGGGGCCCATTTTTGGCCAGCTCACACCTCACGGATCTTCAGGGTGCAAGCAGGGAAAGACGATTCCGCACTAACTAACGGTCTAGATATGTATGAACTGTCGGTCGGGATGAACGGCAACTTACCACTCAACGTTCCATGACCATTCTATCTGTAGACTACATAGATAGCTTTTTTGCCTTGCTTACATCCCTCATGCCTATGGGAACTCGGGAACTTGGGAAGAGGGAGGGAGGGAGGGCAGTGAGCTACAATGCTACATAGAGTAAATAACGGAAGCTGGCAGCGCCGAACCCGGCACCCATGCGAAGTATGGGTATGTACATAGTGCCCAGAGTACCCTGCAGAAATACCGCGAAGGGGGCAGCGAAGCCTGCAGTTCCATCAAGACTCGACTCGTATTTGAACCGGCAGCCTCCCTCCCTCCCAGTCCCAGTCCCCGCCGCCGCTCTCCGTCATGGCCGCAGCCCGCACTCCTTCATTACTCTCGAGAGACTATATTTAACACCCCCGCCCCGTTTCGGCGCAAGATCTCACCACTGACCTCAAGTCCAAGCTTTGGCAAGCTCTGACAATAACTATCATACACAGATAGGTACCTCCTTCTCGTGCCAACATACATACATACGCAAGCCAAACAGTCGCAATCCACCCAATCCATCAATCCTCAAAGTCACGTCCGTGCAATCGTTTTGCTGTGCGCTGCTTCCTTCCGGTGATTGCGTTACGCCGCCTTGAACACTCAAATTTAACCGACCGCCGCACCAGCCATTGTTGGTCGGCCCGGCGCAGATCAGAACCCACACACACACACCACGAACGCCCTGTGTACTCTACATGTAAGTAAAGGTAGCACGTACGCTCACGAGAGAAAGATGGAGGGATACATACGGAGCGAACGGGGAGTACGTACACTTAGGAGTCTAGATTGTTTTGTTCCCTTGTTGTTTCTCTCGATGCGAAACAACGTAAAGTGACTGTCTCTGGAATTCGCGGCGGGCGGGTGTGAGGATTCATCATTTGGGCGGCTTGGTCACCGATTTATCCGCGGTAGTTATGTAGAGTATGTATGAAGCAGTGATTCGTACATAGTTCGTGGTTCGCTATGTATGAGCAACTGAGAAGGAGTCCGCCCCCGAACCACAGACAGATTAGCGAGTGTGTAGCATCGTCCGAAAAAGCATCGGAAGTAGTATCCCTTTCCAAGCCTTTGTTCTCCGAGTCTTCCATCGCGTATATGATATGCTGGACCCGAGTATGTACTCTACCTAGAGTAAATAGCGCGGCCCTGATTACTCTGAACCACAATGCTCCTCGGACTCCGGAGGGGGCCTGTAGGCTTCGGGATGACAGGGTTGCACTCTACTTTACCCCACACGACTGCGAAGGAGGCTGCAGCTATCTTCGGAATGTGCAGGCGAGCTCGATAGAGTGCGGACGGTATGTATGTAAGAATTGCGCTTGTCGGGGTTTACTCACCTTGTATGTGTGTACCCCTGATGAATGGTGGGGCTCACGAGTGGTCACTCATATTGACGAATCCGAATGCTTCCCTTCAGCCTTCCAAGATTTAACTTACCCATGGTTGGTAGGTAGAACTGGCTACGAGCCTACGACAACTACCGGTATCTGGTATGAAGCACATAACTGTCGCGGCCGGCGGGCTCGACGAGCTCGAAAGAATACAAAGTCACTAGGGATGCAGTTATTTACGATAAAATGTGAAAGAAAGAGGGGGGGAAAACAGCTCCCTCAGCCCTATCTAGGCAGTTAAGCCTTCTCCTCAACCCTGTGCACCTATGCATGGGGTATCACTCCTCTGATGACGCCTCCTCTCTCGGGTCTCTCCTGGATCCATCGAAGGCATCAGAAGATCCTGTGGCCAGAGGTCCGGAGTTAGGAGGGAGACAGCTGTGGACAGTGGAGCATGATTCCCTTGGGGAGATGAGCGGAAAGAACTCGGAAACCCCGTGAGTTATGGCGAGATCACGATTCATGGTTGATTGAGGCTCGAGGCCGGCGGGTCGTGTCGTCTCGTCAGTTAATGAGGCGGCCAAAGAACAAGCGAGTACCTACGAACGGAACGGCGCTACATATGTCCAGTGGTCCTGACGACGGTAATAGCAACCATAGGAGTTCCTTGGCTTCCCGAGCATCGTAAGTTGCTCGATCGAACGCTGAAGTACCCCCTAGCACTCGACCATACATAGGGTGTAGATACAGCATATATACTCTCTATACTCTCTATACACCCGTTTTCCTTGCGGCAGCTACATGCATACATTGCACCCTCTCTCTCTCCCTCTCCCACTCCCGGCGGTAAGCGCGCCTCCTACTAGGTATACGGTGCCTTAGTTTTAAGCGTGTGCCGAATCGTCCTGTAGCGCCTCCGATAGCCACGTGCCTTCCATGGTAGTTAACGGCTATTTAGCGATGAACGGGAGTGAGATACCTACGGTAATCTGGAAATCAACTGGGATGAGATGGAATGGTGCTCGGGTATGTAGGCAAATGTGGAAGTACGTGGAAGTTTGTAAAGCATGGGAGCGGATTCACAGTGTTCTACATAGTCCGGCCCAGTCCGGTCCAGTCCGTTCGGACCCGTGGACGGGACTGGACTACATATATGATATATCCAGTCCGTCCGGACTCTGGAGGTGTGTGTTGGACGGGGCGGACTACTTTTATCCCGTCCTCCAAAAGGCACAGACGGAATTGAGTCTTGGTAGTCCGGACCGGACTATGGAGAACACTGGAGCGGAAGTAGGATCGGGAGGGGGATGACGGAGGAACTTAGTATGGTACCTGGTGCTGTAATGGATCAATGCTGCTGATGGGTAGGAGAAGTTACTACACCTTACGACTAAGGGCTGCCAATGCGTAATAGATACCGAGTAGGGATGGTTCTTGCGTAGCAAGACGATAATATAATAATGCAACCCCAATAATCAGTCCGATGAATCACAGAATAACGAGAAGCCACATTTTTGTAAGAAGGCTTTTCCTGTTATCTAGCAATCAAACAACCTGAACGCCATCCTCCACAAAACACCTAGAAAGAAGACATGATATTCGAAGCCTGACTAGAAAATCACAGCAAAAGTTTTATTTTTTCGGAAAGAATCCACCATGCCCATATTTACTGGATGCGGTAGGCATTAACCTCGTAGTCGAACTTCTTGCCGAAGATGAACCACTCGTAGTAGAAGAAACTGTGCATCAAGTCAGCCAACAACTCTTCTCGGCGATGAATGGTTAATTAGGGAGGGACATACCGCTTCCTACCACCGGCCTTTCCAGCCTTTCCACACTTGGTACCAATTTCCTTGACGGCGTTCCCGACTTTCAGGCACGGGGTGCAGACCTTCTTGTGGTCCCAATGGCACAGGTCGGAAGCGGCCGAGTTCCTCCACATCATGGTGCTACAGGTCTTACCAAGCGCCTTGTGGCAGCACCAAGCCCCACCCTTTCCTATGTTGATGAGGTCTTGGGCGAGTGCGAGGACGTCGCTCTGCTCGGGAGAGCCGCCGCTCGTCTGGCACTTGAGTTCCGGATTGGGCGCCCAGTTCATGAACCTATTCTCGCCTGGGTGCTCAGTAGGTGCCGCGGGAACTCCGGGGAGCGTGGGCAGCGGCTGCCCGGCTTGGTAAAGCTCGAGCAGGTGCGGCAGGTCCAGCGCGGGGTGCGACGTGTTGAAGCCCTCCGAAAGCTTGAGGTATTGACTGCCGTCGGGTGAGGTAAGGACTTCTCCGGCAATTTCGTCAACTTCATCAACTCCGCCAATTCCGCCAACATCGGATGGAGACGTTGGGGAAGGAAGAGCCGATCCGCCTGCGAGGAAGACCGTAACTAGGGATAAGACGGAAATAAGGGAAAGACGCATTGTGGTTGTCTCGATTGATGGTCTTAATAAAAGGATAAGTGTGAAGAGGAGGTCGGGGGTCAGGGGTCGGACACCAGCAACGAAAAGCTGGCGGTGGTTGTGGTCGTATGAGAAGGAGGTTGAAGTGGGTGAGAACAGGAGGAGAGGGTGTGAGGAAGGAGAGAGGGCTTTATCGGGGTTGTCGACGAAAATCTGTCGGCGAAATCTGAATTTCACCTCTTAAATATTAAATGTTCCCCCTTCCACCAAGATGACCGCTAATTGAATGTGTGCCTAGCCTATCCATCCGCACAAAACCCTCTTGCCGGTATCAATTCGGTCTACGAGAAATAAGCGGAATCGAGAAATCTGGGCTGTTGTGGGCTCCGCTGCGGGCCAGAGCCTGAAATTATTTGTTTCCTGACATCACGGAGAAGGTGGGATCAATCATTCCACATTCCTCATGCCCGGAAACTTGGTGTTGATCGTATGCAAACACGTTGGATCAGAATACAGCTCTACCTATTCTTACACCCCTCGGGCTGCATTCCTCTTCTTGGTCACAAACATTCCTGATGCACCAAATTATGATAAGTGTGTCTCGACTCGAGTGTCTGAAGACATCACCGCCGCATGATTTTCTCCACGTGGGTGTAGACAGAATGCTACAACCATCGGTCATTACATTTCTGCTCAGGGCTCGAGGGTCGAAATTTATATTCCGTTCGGGTTGCCTGTAGACAAATCAGTATACCAGTGCCAACAGCAAGGCTTCTTCACCATGGATCAGAGGAGGTTTGGAGACCCCCCTTTCTCCAGTAAACCCCCCTACATACCATTGCCAGATCGAGGCTCATAGGCAGTCACTCTTAACCGCTCCGGCTGGGTTTGGCTGGACGAGTGATGTATCGTACACTCGACAGAATGCAACGATGCTTAAATACAAAAAAATGTACACTCAACTTCTTTGTGTCCGACATCCTTTGTGCTTCTTTTGTGTTTTCTTTGTCCTTTCCATGGTGCATTTCACTATCTTGGGTGCTTAGGCGGAGGGTGGGAGGCAAGAGATGGAACCATCACGGAATGAATCAAAAAAAAAGACGTACTCGTAAGGGTAACAGGTGCCTCACCTTGCGCTTATAATTCGTAATGGTGGTGAGGCACGGCTTATAGGCTGTTCCTGGTGCACCCAGCTTGTCGGTAAGTTGTGCTCTAGTTAACGTCAAGAGACTGCTTTAGATGCTGCGAGATGTGTATTTCCAGTACCTTCAGCAGGTGGAATGGTAGAGTCACTGTCAGGACCAAGAAATGCATGCGCTTCAATTTTCGGCCTCGTAGCGAACTGCACCAACCCTCCGATACAAAAGCGGCTTGACTACAGGTACAGGAAACTCATTAAGATTCCCTTGTTCAAACCAGACAAGATCGGCCATACAGCGATAGGCCTGCCCGAGTGACAATGCCGTGGATCGAGGACAACATCACGTGACCCATCTCCCGCTAACTACCGTGACGCGTTACCCTAAGTAACTTCCGCAACGCCTTCGAGCTTCCACGCGCGACCAAGTCAATCTGAATACGTCTGCATCCAGCCTTAGTTACCATGCCACCACCGCAATCGAAGAACAACCGGAAGATGACCGATTTCTTTCGCCCCGTCGGCAACGACAGCCCCGCCACAGCGACCAAAATCGTGACCCCATCACCATCAACCGAGCCTGTCTCCTCTCCACTGTCGTCCTTAGGGTCGCCGACACCGACACCGACGCCGATGCCGACCCCAGGCCCGAAGCCGAAGGTGCAGCCGCTACTGAACAAACAGGGAAAACCACGTGTTATTCCGAGCTCAGATGGCGAGGAAAGCTCTGACGACTCTGATCTCGAGGACCCGTTTGGACTCTTCTCGCGCATCCCCGCGCCGAAACCGCCTGTGAAGAAGAGCGTCCTGGACGATGATGATCCCCTTCCGATTAGAGCGGCGATGCACATAGCAAACTACAAGTCTACCATGCCGAAGCTACTTAGGCAACGAGAGAAGGAGAAGGCGCTCGATGAAGAGCTGAGACTAGCGTATAACTTGATCGAGGAGAGCGAGAGGAAGGAGAAGGAACCGCAGATTGATCCGAAGGCGGGGATCACGGAGGAGACGGCGCAGAAGGTCATGGGCACCGATGGTAGTGGCGCAAGGCTGATGGAAGCTCTGGATCGGGACGATTCCTGGGGGGTTAATTGTGCTTTCTTCGAGTTCTTCGATCATAAGATGATGCCAAACAGGAATCGGAAGCCGTTTCCTGTGGCCGCTGTGAAGAAGAGCCCGGCTTGCACTTTGCTCGAGAGTATGAACCTACTTGATGACCAGAGAGAGTGGGGTCACTGACACGATCAGATCCAGCAGCCCGTGAACAGATGTTTCTCAATGGAGCTTTCGTCGATATCTGCGGGCAACCTGATCTTGCCCTGCCCGACGAAGTTCTACTGTGGATAATGGATGAAGGTACCAGAGACGATACCAAGTTTGATTCCTGTTTGTTGACCTTTTTGTAGTTTGTCTGGATCAACGAGAAGATATGGTACTGGCGTATTACAAAACACTCCTTGTACGTATTTGCTTTCCCGTCATACTCAAACAATGATCATTAACGACTGACATGAGTAATAGGGACACCAGGATCGCCTTGTGCCTCTAATGTCGGTCGAAAAAATGGTCTCTCTGTTCGAGCTCCTCGGTGCATCGGCCACCGCATTGGATCTTGAACGGCAGCTCCAATTTGGCCAGTCGAACGAAATGGGTCCCGACTTTGGCGCAGGTATTTGTATTCCCCGGAGATGTCGGTGCGCAAACACTAACGTCTGCAGGTGTTCAACACTGGCGCTCTTGGAACATCATTCACATGGTTAAGATTCTCGAGACGGTGGGAGAAATCTATGCGTAAATAGCCACTCACCCCACCCCGTCACTTGGTTTGCTGACTGACATCGTTCGAAATCAGCGTGAATGGAGATGCTCAACGAACACAATCCATCTGTAGCATTCTCATCCGCATGTCGTTGGATGACCAGCTATCCCGCCAAAGCAGTTTCCTGGTAACGATTGAGGCGGCGCTGTACCGAGTGTTACAAGCGATACCGGATGACGTGTGGGATGATCGAGTGTGTATCCCGCCTACTAGAAAACTGTTTATTTGGGTTGACTGACACCTTGAAGATCAAAGTAATCGGCTACAATATTATGAGCACCATTCTCAAGCCGCAGTTCCGTGCCAGGGTCCTGAATATCCTTCCGCTGTACTCCCAGACATTGCATCTATTCCGCCGCCGACTAGCATGCGCATTCCTGTATGAGGACGCCTCCTATCTGATACGAGAATACTTGACCCTTGTGGACCTCGACAAGATGGCGACACTTCTCGGCGAGAGCCAATTTAAGATCACGCGGAAAACCGAATACGTTGAGTTGAATAGTTTGATCCGCATTCTCGAAATCGCGGTGGACAGCGGAGCGACCTCTGGTACTCCAATTGAACAGGATAAAGGCGTCGATCGTCTGGTGGAGTTGCTCAGGGCCATGTTCACGAGGATCATAGACACGAATGCAAGGGATCTGGCGAGGACGGTGGCGAAGGATGCGATTGAACGTTTCCAGTTTCGGCTGAACTTCGCGGTCAGGTCGAAGCGTCGCCAGGCGCTGGGATTGAGCGATGGCAATCAGCGCACGCTTGGGAACTGGGTTACAAAATGATTGCGCGGTTGGGAGTGGGTGGGTTGGTTGTCAATTTGTGTAGCATATTTGGTGTACTCTCTTACATATCAATGGAGGATGGAGGATGTATGCTCACGGAACAACCGAAGAGCAACAAACACTATGCGTATCAAGATTCAAGAGATGAAGCCAACTCCATCGCCACCAACAACTAACAAACTAATGACTGGAAGAATAGACGAACCACGCACGCTTGGCCCCCCTAGAAGCCTATGAACAAGAAAACGAGCCGCGCGCACGAGAAATAAGGTATAAACCAACATGATGACCTAATCGTAGAACTTCCTGTTGGGGTTCTCTCCAAACACACTGCCGCGGACAACGGGCAAACAGTCGGCTTGGATGATCTTCAGACGCTCCTCCAAGGTGTTGTTGATGGTAATCTTTCCGCCCGTTCCGACGATGAAGATGCCTCCGTGCCTGTGACGTGACCGGTTAGAATGCCGGAATTGCTGCTACCCCAATCTGCGTGACTTACGAGTCTTCGGGCATGAAGTTGTCCTCATCGACCGTGATGCTCACATCCGCACCCGACGCCTCCTTGTACTCCTGCGTAGCCTGCTGGATAGCCTTCTTAAGCAGCTCGGTATCCTTCTCCCTCGGCCTGACCTGAATCTTGTCCTCACCGAGGGCATAGAGGCCCTCCAGGATCAAATTCTTCAGAATTGTCGTGTAATTCTCCTCATCCTTGCTGACTTCTGCGAGCTTCACCCTGGCCTTCTCGAAGATGTCATCGAGCAGCTGCTGTCTCGCGGCGAGGATCTTCAGTCTGGTCTTGTTGGTGACGGTAGAACGCGCGATCTGCTGCGATAGCTCGGCCTGCTTGAATTTGCGCTCGTACTGGGCGTCGATCGAGGCCGTCTCTTGGCGTACGAGCTTCGACTTCTCGATCGCCGACTCTTCGTCCGCTTTAATCTCGATCTCGCGCGCTTTTTCGACCGCTTCTTGGTTGATGAAGGCGACCATCTTCTTCAGCTCCCCCTCCACCTGTAATACATGCCCATCGTTAGCTGCTAGGTGTGGTGAGTGGGGCTGGACGGGTGTGGGGATGTCGGACGGACCTAGAGACAGCTCTTGTTAGCCGACACACGTAGGAGCGGGGGAAGTGGGCGGTACCTGTGCATCGCTCAGTGCGCGTGCCATCTTCCGTTTGGGTTGGTTTCGGAGTGTAGGAGTTGACGGTGATTTCGGGGTATTGTTGAGGCAGAGGTAGAGTTGGCGGTGGTGATGGTGAATGGAGAAGTTCCGCTCGATGTCGTGGGTGGTGGTGTTGGTGGTGTTGCAATCAAGACCTCCGGCCGCTAACTAGATGCTCACCACCCTCACCCCGGCGTGAACAACG